GAAAACTGGCTCCTTCAGCAGTGGCCCTGAGTTTGAAATTTCGAGTCCATTGTAAAGGATTTGCATGGATGGAACATTCGGCTACAGAAGAAGATTGGGTTGTTGTTGATTATTACCATGGTGATGTTGGTACATCAGAATTAAAAAATTTCTTTCAAACTAATCCCAATTGGTTAAATAGTCCTTATGTTAGTGTTGGTGTACGATTGTCTAAACCAGTACTTTCAGGAAACATTTTTTGTTTCCTTCCACTACCATTTACAAAAGGAAATAAAACAGGTCTGCCATTCCATGTAAATGGATTTTTTTCATTAAGTCAGGATAGGCATCATCTGAAATGGACATCTGAATCCAAAGATGATAGAAGTCATACAGAAAAAGCAGTACAATGGAATCAGCTCATGATAAAAGAAATTTTTCCATATGCCTTTGCAGAGGTAATAAGACAACTTACTGATGAAAACCTCCATGATATTGATAAAGATCAGTTTTACGCATTGCTGCCAAATCAGTCAAAAGTTAGTGAGGATTGGATTTCTATAATTTATCCTGTATATCAGCATCTCTATTCCTTAAATTGTATTTACACAAAAAATAGACAGGGAAGATGGATCTGTCCAACAGAGGCAGTGTTTGCTGATCAAGGTTTGTCATCAACAATTGAAGATATATATATATTGCATGACATTAATATTGCTAAAGTTGAGGAATACATAGTGGAAAGTTTTAAAGAACATGGAGATTTGAAGCATGCATCTTCAGAAGAACTAAAAGTGGAATTACTTAAGCAAGGAAAATATCAAGACATGAACTCTGACCAAAAACTAAACCTACTTCTACATTTCCTGGACCAAAACTCAACATTATTAGAAGATTTAGAACTTCTACCTCTAGCAGACGGAACGTTTACTACCTTCACTCAAGATTCTAATGCTCAGCGTATTTATATATGTGGAGATGATATAAGACAGAAAATGTTCCCAAATATGGAAGCTCACTTTGTAGAATTGGGGTTACAACAAGGCCTAGAGAGAAAGTTACTCAAATTATCTGAAGAAGGTAGGATGAGTGTTTATTTTAGATAACATATACATTTTTGAAATGAGTTTTGTTTATGGGGAGAATCTGTAAATAATTTCTTGGAAACATTATTAGTGTGTTCACCCAAATATCAATACAATTACACCACAATATTTATATATATACCAAGCCTTAAATCAGTTTCGCTCATTTATAGTCACTAAATAAACGGTCATATGGTACTTAATAAGCTATGACCATTTAACCATCTATAAAAAAATAGACTGAAAACTGGTTACGAGTGTTGGCCGTAACATCTGGGCACTTTTGAGTAAAAAATAGGTTACGTGCAGTGGCTATTTATAGACTCCTAGACTCTTGTGCTGAGTGTTATCGCACCGCATGACAAGCCAGAAATCACTTTGAGACAAGCCACAGAAGCGTGCACATTCCCCATGTCAAGTTCAACTTTCAGTAGGGAAAATTTTGCCTGGATTGGGCACCCGAACATTATATAGATTGCTATCCCCCAACATTCAAATGTATCGCATAGTGTCATCCAACCTATTGTTCAGACGTTGTGTATGCTGTAGGTGTTTATTAGGTGTATGTCTTGACTGAGTTTGATGATGAGCATTTTTGGCTTAATCTAAGAAGGGATAAGCAATTTCATTGGTTGATGTATTGGGACATGAAAACATTGATTCTAATAAAATGATAGTGATGAAAATTGGTGTATAGTTTCACAATGTCTATAACGTAGTTCGATCATGAGTATTTTCTACTTCGGCTAAATAAAGGCTAAACCATCAAATTTCTGAAATTACTTGATTTGTTTTTGTCCTTATTAGGTTTTAGTGTCTTATACCTTGCTCTCATTACCTACAAAAGAATAAAAATGTGAATACCTTTCTGGAGTGTTCGGATAATGTCTAGGTTTAATTGTCTTTCAACCTATCTTTGTATTTAAGGAAAGTTCCAACTGAAGGTTTTTCAACCAGAAGACTTATGTGAGCTACTAGAAGTTTGTTTGATAGAAAATGGTTGGGAAGATGACAAGACATTGACACCAGTAATTAGTAATTGGTTGCTGTGTGTTTGGAATTACATAAATAACCTTGGTGAAGAAAAGGAACAGATTATAAAGAATGTCAGTCATTTATATTTATTGCCATGGATTAATGAAAATGGGAATGGGGAAATTAAGACCTTAAATGGCATCTCCATTTTAGAATCACATTCTGGAGTTGGATCTTTAAATGCAGAGGTTTCAAAGGCATTAGAGAAGTTGGGAATTGTAGTATTTAAGACATTACCACAAACAATTACTGAATGTATTGCAGGTTGGTTTGTACAATATCCAACTGATTCCGGCTTAATGGAATGTCTACACCAGATTTCCCGAAGCTCAGAATATTTGGAAGAGATAATCGAAAACTTTAATTTTTCCAGCACAGATGAGGAGAAGCACAGTTTAGTTATTAGATTAAGTTCCGTCCAAGACATTGCTGAAGTCAAAGGATTGATAAGAAAATTAGAATTATTTACATCTATTTCTAACAAACAGACATGTTTAGAGAAAGTTGAGGTTATGTATGTTGAGGAAGATACCCATCCAAAAATTCCTATTAAGCCAGTAGATGAGGTCATATATTGCTCAGATGATTACACCAAGATTGTGGCGGAAAGGTGTGGTGTGAAATTGTTATCTTTTGATAGTATGGTGGAAAAAGTGTTGATACGTTTAAACTGTTCTTATACATTAAGTTCTTATACATTAAGTGAAAAAAAGCAATTCATGGCATATTTTACAAAAAACTTCCATCTGTTTGAGGCACAAATAGGTCTAGTTAATTTAGCGAAAGAAATTGAATTTGTTGAAAATGAGTCTATGAAGTACAAGAGACCGTCTGACTTATTTAATCCAGACTCAGAACTTCTCCAAAATCTGTTTCAAATTGAACAGGATAGATTTCCAAAAAAGTGTCAGTATGAATTAACAGTCCTGAAAAAACTTGGATTACGAGATGAAAAAGATGTGACTGATCCTGAAATTATTCATACTGCTAAGGAAATTGAAAGACAATATCATGAAAACAATCAAAATCCTTCTGTCTTGTTGGAAGTTTCGTTAGCCCTCTCTAAATTTCTTACAAAGCATCATACAAGACTTCTACCAGATACAATAAGTATTCTAGAATCCTGTACCTGTTTTCCTATTGCTGTTCAATGTCCAACCAATTATCCAGTTAGTTTGAAATTTATAGGAGAAGGAGAACATTATACACTGAAAAAACCCTGTGAAATGTTTAGTTCTGAAGATGCCAATCTGATTGGAGCAGTGGCTTACATAGCAAGAGAAACAACACCACCTTGTTTCAGGTTAAAACAATTAACAAATGAAGCAAATTTAGTAGCCAGACAACTTGTACATGTGTCAGAGAGCTATTGTGATAAAGAAATTTACAGATACATGACCTTAATTGAAGATATTTATCGCCATCTTGATCGCCAGGATTATGCAGATTTAAAGTGTAAAAAGGTAGTATGGACAGGCGAAAAATCCAGATTTCAGACGTCAGAAACAGTCTGGATACAGGTAATGAAATCACCTGAAATTGAGATTTGTCTTGAACCCTATATGTATTCCTTACCAAATCATATGATTAAATTGGCAAACTGGTTTGAGTCTATTGGATGTAAAAAGATTTCACAACAAGATGATTTAAATAAATTAATGCTGAGTATGTTGCATCAAATTAAGAGGAAATACGACTCCAACTGTGGTAGTATAATGTTTTCCAAGAAAGAAGTACAGAAAGATCTTACATTGGTGTTAGAGATTATTAATAAATTTACCAACTTAACAGAAGACTTTCCAGGAGATGTTAGGGAAATCCTTCTGCCTGTGCGCACGAAGGCTGATGATATTTTGTTACTGAAGTTTGCACATGAGTGTACAGTGTTCGAAGATTCTCAAGAATATTACGATGATGAGGATGATGCAAATGAAGCAGACCGAATATACTTTGTTCACCCAAATATTTCATTGACAACAGCTAAAAAGTTCTGTGTTCCTTTCCTAAGTGAAAGAATCCTGGACCAGACAGACATTTTAGATATGAACTTTGGACAAAAAGAACCATTAACAACTAGAATTAAAAATTTGTTAAAAGACTACAGCGATGGATTTACAATACCAAAAGAACTTATACAAAATGCTGATGATGCTGGAGCAACAGTTGTCAAATTTCTGTATGATGAACGAACACTAGATAATGCACAAACATTCCTATTTCATGATGGAATGGTACCATGTCAAGGGCCTGCATTTTGGGCATATAATGATGCTCAATTTTCTTCAGATGACTTTGAAAATATCACCAAGATAGCTGGAGCTACAAAAATGGAAGACAGTTTGAAAATAGGTAGATTTGGCTTAGGTTTTAATTCAGTATACAATCTAACAGATGTCCCTAGTTTTATTTCTGGGGAAACTTATGTAGTGTTCGATCCACATGAAAGTCATCTTGGGAAGAATGGGTTGAGACTTAACCTAAACCATCCTTACAATAGACGATTACGGAAGAAGATGAAAGGTCAATTTGTTCCATTTGAGGGAGTCTTTAACTGTAAAATTGGCGACTCAAAGAGTAAAGTTAACTATGATGGAACTCTTTTCCGGGTTTCCCCTCCGTAACAGATCTGAAGCTTTGAAAAGTAAAATTAAGGAGTTTTCTTATTCCAGTGAAGAAATGGAGAAATTCTTAGAGAAAATTGAAGAAGGAGCTGGAAATTTGCTCATGTTCACTCAGAAAGTTGTTAAAGTTGAATTGTATCATTTAGACGAAGGATCAGATGTTCCTACAAAACTTATGACTGTTTCCAAATCGTCTGATAATTCAGGAACAACTATTTTGAAAAAATTAAAAGATATGCAAAGTGAATTGGTGAAAGACATAGGAAAGCCAACTCCGCAGATCATGGAAGAAATAAGAATTCAGTTGTCAACGAAAGAAACTGAAAACTCCAAGACATTTTTGATTAGTTGGGGTTATGGGATTGGAAAAGCATTAAGTGAAGCAGAGAAACCTGCTTTTAAGGGACTACTTCCTGTTGCTGCTACAGCTATTCAATCAGAAAACCACAGTTTGTCAGTAGATAAGCAAAAGGTTCATGGATTTTACCATGAGTCACATCTTTTTTGTTTTCTTCCCTTACCAGTAAAGTCAGAATTACCAGTGCATGTCAATGCATCGTTTGCTGTTCTGTCAAGCAGAAAAGAACTAGCATGGCGAAATGAAGATGATTTATTGGACAGTGCAGAAGATCAATGGAATAAAGTGCTTTTAGAAGATGCTGGTAGTCAATCATATATACACATGCTCACCAGAATAGCTCGGCAGGAAACAAGACCTGAACCCCAAGATTACTATAATATATGGCCATCCATGACTTCTACACATAAGCATGATCAAATATTATCTCATCATATATACCTAACTATATGTGAAGGAAATTACAATGTTTTTTTAACACCACAATTACATGCTGTTTCTTTGAAACAGTCTGTTTTTCTAGACCCAAAATTGAGGAAAGATACCACTGTTGGAACAATAGCTTTTAAAGCTTTGCAGAACTTCTTAAAATCTTTAAAAAGAGGACAAGTTCATCCTATTGACTTGCCTTCATCAATATGGGAGAATTTTGAGCATGCTGAATGCCTACCCTTCTTAGAAGAGTATGTCATCTCAATAGAAGAGTTCTACTCCATAATTATATTTCCACATTTATTAGATAGCTACTGGTTGAAGGAAGATTTAGATAAAATTCTTCTATATGGACTTAATAATGGCAGCAAGGATTTATTGATACTTTTTTCCAACCATGAGTGTATTCCTACTAAACCAAATGGTAAACTAGCACGTCCATCCAAACTCATACACCCAAAAGGAGAACTGGCTAAACTATTTTCTGAATCGGAAGAATGCTTTCCAGAACAAACTCAACTTTTATCAGAAAGTTTCAATAGTTCACAATCTCTTGAACAGCTAGAATTACTAGGGATGCAGGTGGATGAATTTAGTGACTGGGAACTACTTTCTGAAAGAATATATGTTGTATTAGAATCTGGAGATTATGAACACATTAAGAAACGATGCATCGATTTTCTTCGGTACTTATCATCACCTTGTACCAGACAAGGAGTTGACCAAACATCTAGCAGATATCAAGTTTGTCCAGGTCATGTTCGAGAAAAAATTTCCTCTCTAAGATTTTTACCTCGACTGTCTATTTGTCAAAAATATGCATGGTGTAAGAAAACAAATACTAGTGAATTTATCTCTGCAACAGAAGGATATCTGCCTGAATTAATAGATCTTGTAGGATGTATACTACCAATTGTTGACACAGAAGATTTCAAATATAGGATCCCAAGGTTAATTGAGGTTTTGAAATGGTTAGGTGTTCGACAAGAAACAAATATTCAATCAGTTGTTGGTAATTTATTGCAGATATCACATGACTATATTACATCAGAACCAAAATCCAGTGATGTGTTTTATGCATTAGAAAAATCTGTGTTAAAAATGTATGACTTTATTTTATCACACACAAATGACGAAGTCAATACCTACATTGTAGAGAAATTAAGCAATGCAGCAGTTATTCTACAAGACACCACAATGAAGAAACCACAAGAGATGGTGCTAAATTTACTCAGTGACCTTTCTCCATATTTATATACAATAAGCCCAGGATATAAGAAGTATTCATACTTTTTCTGTTTAATTGGTGTGACAGAGAAACTAACCATCTCCAAAATACTTGAGGTTTTAGTAAACATGTCTAATGATAAAGGTAGTGAAGAGCTATCTGATGCTGAAATAACATGTATGGTGCATTTAACTGAGTCATTACCAGAACTACTAAGACACAATGTCAATAGTCAGCTGATTAATCTACCAGATAATAAAATTGACAGTCAACTGATTAAACTACCAGATAATGAAAACAAATTAACTCCAATCAAAAACTTATGGTTTGATGATACTCCCTGGCTGAAATACAGGTCAAAAAACATCAAGCCATTACATGAGAAGTTTACGAAATGTGTTGCAAGATCCATGGGAGTCCAATCAAAACGTGATCAAACTGTGAATTCGTTATCAAAAACTGATAAATTCTTTCAGTTTGGACAACATGAGGATTTAACCAGTCGTATTCACCGCATTCTTGAGAGTTATCCAAGAGATGAATCAGTTTTAAAGGAAATTCTCCAAAATGCTGATGATGCTGGAGCAACAGAGGTTATATTCATAAAGGATTTCAGGAATCTTCCTGCAAAGTCCTTACCAAATGAAGAATGGAGTGATATGCAGGGACCTGCTTTATGTATTTACAATGATAGCTATTTCACAAAACAGGATTTAAAAGGCATTCAAGATTTGGGCATAGGAACTAAGAGAGATGATGTATTAAAGACTGGTCAGTATGGAGTAGGATTTAATGTAGTATATCATATAACGGATGCTCCATCATTTTGGTCAAAAGGTGGAGAAATAGGAGAGGTTGTCTGCGTATTTGATCCACATTGCAAATATGTTTCCATGGCAACTCCAGAGAAGCCAGGGATGATGATAGATGCAGAAGATCTGCATGAAACATTTGCTGACTTTCACACAGGTTATCTACCAATGTTAACTAGGGATAAGACACAGGGAACTTTATTCCGTTTACCATTACGCACAGAAGAAATGGCATTAACATCCAAAATTTCAGATGAAGTCTCTAAAGAACATATAGAAGAAGTCATTGAACTATTAAAAGATCAAGTTTTTTCTTGTATGATCTTTTTAGAAAACATAAAGAAAGTAAAAATCGGTTCCATTATGGAAGAAGAATTGGTAATTGAATATGAAGTTGCTTCAACAATGTCTGGTGAAGATGTAAGCAAACAGGAAGATTATAATGATTACCTTAAAGCGATAGCAGTGAAAATTAAACAGAGGGAAGGTGGTGCTTTCAGTACAACACCAAAAGAGATTTCAATAACATTACAAATAACTGATAACATGAAGAAGAAAGAAGATTATTTGATTGTAAAACGAGCTGGATTCCTCACAGATTCTCCATTTCCTGAAAAACTCCAGAATGCTTATGAGAATGGACAGGTACAAAAACTACCAAGAGGTGGAGTTGCTATTGTTTTGTCTCCAGAACCCAAAATCACAGGTAAAGCTTATTGTACTTTACCTCTTCCAGTGAACACAGGTTTACCTGTTCATGTGAATGGGCAATTTGCGTTGGATCATGAGTCTAGGAGAAACTTGTGGAAAGGTGAAAACTCAGTTCAGTTTTTATGGAATTGGCAGCTTGGCAAATCTTTAATAGTACCAGCCTACATATCTGCTCTACAGGAATATAAACTGTATCCTTTGCCAGCTCGAGAATACAGTATGAAGAACACAGATTTAATTCAAATGATCCAACAGTTTGAATCTCTATTCCCGAAGAAGAGCAATGCTAGTGATATTTATTGGAAAGATTTAGTAGAATCTATTTATCACAAAATAGCAAAAGATAGATTCAGCCTGTTCCCTGTTATTTTAGATATGGATAATATTTCTCATTGGTTTGAAATTAACTGGGTACCAGTTCAGATAGATGATGACTTTGCTGGTTGTTTTAACACACTTCATCAATACTATAAACTCAAGAAAACAACTCAAGATGCTACTTTTTTCAGGTCTTCAGCCTTGTCTTTCAAAAAAGCACACTCAAAAAATGCTGAAGAAATGGAACTGACACATCAACCGGAAGAACTAGAGAAGATTTTGGTCACACTGGGAATGAAAGTTTTGAAATCAGCCAGTTGGATTCGACAAGAAATTGAAGGAGCTAAAACTGTTAGTCCAGAGTTGGTATTGAAGTTTCTAAAATCTCATGCAAATCAAGGGCAACCCAATGGATGTATTTTAGGAGAACTGCCAGAATATATTAATCAAACTACATTTAAAACAGTAGCTAATTTGAAGATCGTGTTTGAGTTTGTGATGAAAGCCATTGATCAAGAATACTCCCAAAACAGAAGCCAAAAGGAGTCCGAATCAATTGATTTCTTGTATGGAGCACCACTTTTACTAAAACAAAATCATCAACTATCTGTTTTTAGTGAGGATAGCATAGTTACTGTATCAAAATTCTGTGATCTTTTACCTGAATATTCGAACCGGTTTCTTTCCCTAGATATTTTACCTATTCTTGAAGACTATGTTTCAGTATATCAACCGCTTAAACAATGGAGCATTGCAGAATTTGCGGGGTGGTGTAATGGTACAGAATTACATAGATTTATTGGTCAGGGCACAGTGATGTCTTGGAGTGGTGAAAAACCTGTAAGTGAGCTATGGCTGGTTATGCTCTGGAAGTTTCTTAACTATCATATACTAAACTCAGCAGATGACTGCAGATCAAAATCTTTAGAAAACCATTTGAACCCAGTTAAATCCTTTTCTATACTTCCTGTTGAAATTGCAAGTAACACATTTCAGTTGTATCCATTGAGTCAAGCTGAACATGTTATAGACTATGTACATCTATCCTCCTTTGATATGCCTGGCATTCTTGTATTAAAAAACACAGAGGAGATTCTCAAAAACTTAAGGTTTCCAAACTTACGCCATTTTATCTTGGATCCCACCTTCACGTACAGAGCCTGTGAAATAGTGGCAGATATGAAACATCCAATACGGATCATTGAAGTATTATACACAAACAGTAATTGCTTAGAATCAATAGACACTGAAAAAGCAAAAGCCATTTTACAATATTTTAATGTGTTTAAAAAAGAAATGTTGGCTTTTCAGAATAAATTAAAACAACTAAAACTTTATGAAACACATGATGGTGAATTGATTACCTTAGATATGCCAAAAACATATATCAGACTATTGGATTCTTCCCCACCACAAGTACCTTCACAAGGTCTTCAACACTGGTCATCTGTATCAAATGTCATTATCTTAAAACGCCACAGCAAGCTTGATGATCTATTTAAAACTATCGGAATAGAGGATACTTCACCAACAGACCTCTACTTAACATATATTCTTAAGTGGTTTAATGGCTTTAAGGATGAAGACCAGTCGTTGTATCATCTGAAGTACATTAGAGACAAGCTGTTGACCAATATGGAAGAGGATTTTAAACCCAAAAGAGAGGCATTAATTAAAATGCTAACAGAAGTCAAATTTATTTCATACAGAAGTGTAAAAAGAGTAGCCTCATCCTTCTATGATAATAAAAATGAAGTATTCAAGGAGATGCATGAATTACTTGACTTTCCACCACCACCATTTAATGACCCTACATGGAGACAATTCTTGATTCACGCTGGACTGATATGTAAAGTGTCAGAAGAAAACTTTGTCTTTTTTGCAGAAACGATTGCCAAAGTAGCACTTTCTAATGGTGTAACAGACAAATTAAAAAATCAATCACAAGTACTTGTCAATTATCTGTTTGAAATGAAACCTACTAATAACAAATCTATTAATAACGTACAAAGTATCTGCACGAGAATAAAAAGCATCAAATTTCTTGAACAAGAGAGTTTACAAGATGATGACTACAGAATAAAAATTTCTTCACAATTTGGCAGCTGTAGAAATTTTATAGAATTCCAGAATTCATATGATTACTCACATTTTGATCTAATTTGGTCGGTGAAAAATGTTCTGAAAAGAAAAAATTGCGATTTAGCAAGACAGAACGGGCGTTATATTAATTGGTTCAAACTGTTAGGAATATCAAAAACAGTGGATTCAACCACATTCATCAGAAATATGCAAAATGTGTGTTCATCTCTGACAGATAAATCAGTTCCAAATAGAATTAGCTTAGACAACCAGAAGAAGTTATTTGAAACATATTATAAATTTCTACAAGGTAAGTTACCTAAGGTAAGGGAGGAACTTACGGATCTTAAAGATTATCATACTATATTTTTACCAGATGATGGATTGCTTGTTCCAGCTTCCTCAGTTATTCTCGAAAGCAGTCCAGACTATTTTATCGATGGACACATATTTAAAGCCCCAATATATTATGGCAAATATTTTGATGTCTTTGAGGCACTTGGAGTAAGAAAATCTGCCATTCCTGACGTATATCTTGAAGTTTTGTGTTGCATTGAAGAAAACTGTAATGGTGAGAAATTAGATCCAAATGAATCTCTCGCTGTTCAAAAATGCATCAAACAATTGAACATTCTATGGAAAAAGCATGCAGATCAAAAATATGAGTTGAAAAAACCAATATTGTTTTTACCAAATCAACAAAATGTGCTAACAAATTCAACCGAGCTTGTCTTTATAGATGACAATTCTATTTATCACCGAACTAAACAGCTTTGTATTGACTTTTTTATTGGATACAAATGTTTGGAAATGGAGGTACCTGATCCTAACAGCATTCATCGTTTCTGGCCAGAAGAATACCAGATGAAGAGATTAAGTAAAATAGTAAAAGAAGGACTAAATCAAGATTGTATTCAAGGAGCAGTATACGGTGAGCTGGCTAATGAAGTGAGTAAAAGGCTAAAACATGATGAAATGCTTAATGCTTTAATGCGTTTACTGAAACATGATCAACATAAGTCTGAAATAGCATTGGATGATGAAGAAACCATGAAAAAGAAACTCCAAACCATAGTAGACATAAAGATATGTGAAGTTAAATGCCTCTCAATGGAACTCATCTATCAAGGAAAGGTGGTACCTAATAGTGAATGTAAAAAGTTAGCATACTTTGTAGAGTCGAGCCAACAAAACAAATCCACAAAAGATTATATTTTATACGTCAATCAAGGAATCTCTGTAGAAAACTATGAACTCAAAAAAACATTATTTGCTCTTCTGAAACGAATTCTCAACATATCCATACAAATTGAAAGCATGCTTTTTAGTGAACTCTGGGGTATGAATCACTCAGAAATTTCAGAATTTCTCAATAATAGAAAGATTATTCATTTTGATTATGCTGCAATAGCAACCAGTATATTTCCTGAACTAGGTACTGAGATTCCAACAGATCTTCACTTTCTGTTAAACAATGGTTTTAGTGAGTTTTATGAAGGTGAATATGTTGGTTTTGAAGTTTTTGATCCTGATCTTGAAGAAACAAATTCTGAAGATGTAGAATATTCACCAATGTATATATATGCCAAAATTGTTAAAAAGGTAAAAGCAGAAACAGATGAGGAATTTGCTACATTCAGCATAGATGTTGGTGACGACGACGATGTAATAGAAGTTTACTTTTTTAAGATCTACAAGTTCCATCGAACACGAAAAAGTAAATCTAGAACATTGGAATTAAGTGAGAAAATGAAAGAAGATAATTTAGCTGAATCTAGTCAAGATATCACAACCATATTGCAGGGTATCCGTAAGACTTTGATGAAGGCTTGGAAACTTCCAGAAATAGAAAGAAAAACAATCCTAAAACGGCTGATATTGCTATGGCATCCTGATAAAAATCTACATGATCAAAAAATGGCAACTGAAGTTACCCAAAAGATATTCATGTATGTGAATAGATTAAAAAATGGTCTCTCATTAGATGAAGTTGATGAAACTGATGGCCACACAAGTTCCAGTAACTATTACTCAGATGATGATTCATATGGATATTTCTACAACAACATGCATTCAAGAGGAAGGAGCTATGCCAGAAACTTCCAAGATCACTGGTCAGATGAAAGTTATGATCATCACCATACCTGGATTCGGACTGAACCGAGGCCGATGCCAGATCATGCTGTCCGATGGCTGAAACAAGCTGTAAGTGATTTAAAAGCAGCTGAACTTTTTCAACAGAATATTGGTGATGATTTTCATAATTGGGTATGCTACAAATGCCAGCAGGTAAGCTTAAAGGATAGCATGTATCACTATTAGTAAAATTAATAGTTGCCATCAGTTTCTCAATCAGAAACTGAAAACAACACTTTAAATTTTTTTATCAATAAGCATAACTATAGTAACAGCTTTTTATATGCCCAAATTGAACTGAGGTTGTATAATGTTGTCACTCCTGTTTGTCCTTCCCGCTGTCCATAAAATTAATATCCAGTTGTCTTTAAATTTATACAGTGTTTAATTATATCCGAGATTTACTGCTGTTGATTATTTTGTAAAATGAACCTTGTTGACTTTAGATTTAGTCAGGTTTGTAAATGCTTTCATTACAGACAAAAAAAAAAAAATATGTTACAGCCCTTGTGGACTTCTCCGACGATTAAGCTGCTGTAGGCGTATATTTTGTTGCCTGGCAACCTATCTTTGAAGTAATGTACAGAGAGAAAAAGTGAACTCTCTGAAATATACTTATGTGGCAATTCAAAATTTATTTGTGATGCATTTTGGCCAAACTTCGAATATACCTTCATTATCATGCCCAAATCGTACAATGTGCCATCTGTGCCTATTCAGTTGGCATTATAAAATGTTAAATGATTACGAGTGTGATTTGTTTGAACCTTTGCTATCAATGAGTGTAGTCATGGAGGCAACCCGTCATCAACAACGGATTCAGCAATAAATATGTGTGTACACCTTCCCTAATTAGATTGTGATTGTGTTTAAATATAGTTTGGGGTGCCCTCACAAAATAAAATTAGGGGCCTTTGAAATCCATGCCAAAGTCATTTCTGTAGTTAGCAGGGCCTAACATGTTCTTGCAATAAGTGATGCCTGTTGTGGGGAAGCCCCACCCTTGAATTCTTGCCTCTTCCCCTCTCTCGCTCAAGGCTCTGGTTATGCTAACTCTTTGTAGAGTGAGCTGTGTTATTATTTTTTTTATTATAAAATTCTTTTAGAATATGTATGTACATTTTATAATTTGTAGGCTGCTGAGAAAGCTCTGAAAGCTGTTTTGTATACAATAGATGGAAATAAAGTAACACATGAACACAATGTGTATCAAGTTGCTTGTGGTTTACCGTACGATAACTTAAAAACACTTGCATTAGAACTACAAAATATGATTGGTTATCATACTCGTATGCGATATCCAGACACACTTAGTTACCCACAAATTCCAAATGATGTATACAACAAAGATCATTCCCAAAGAGGCTGTGAAATAACAAGAAAGATTGTGAATGGAGCATCTGAAATAATCAATTAAAGTGAGTACATCTATTACTTCACAGATTTTAACTTTGACTTGAAACAATTGAGGAAGAGTTAGATTCTATCTATACTAATATTTGTGACTGTCATTAAAAATTTGGTTTGTCTGTTTGTTTGTCTGTCTGTCTGTTCGGGGTTGACGACTACACAAGGGCTGTCCCGAGGCTGAAATTTGGTGTATAGGGGTAGCTGGGACCGGGGAGTAACATAAGCTAAGTGGCGTTGGCCTACTGCTTCCGGTCTTAGAGTTACGGTATACTATTTTCAACCTGTGCCGTGCCACTAGTGATGCATATAATTGGTTATAATATACTCTTCAAAAAAGTAGGGGATATTCAGATGCAAATACCTATGCAGGTTGAAACTTGAAGGAAAGGTTTATGAAAACTACCGCGTGCTGGTTTATCCTATCCATGTTTGCTTTACTATCAGTTCTTGCCTAATATTTACTGTTTAGCATATCTTTGCTTTAGTGTGTTACGTTCAATTTGCAATGAGACGTCTTCAACATGATGAACGTCTACATGCTATTGGCATGCTTCAAATGGGTTCTACACAGCGAGCAGTAGCCAACATGCTTAATGTGTCACAGTCTGTGATCAGCAGACTGTGGAACCGGTACCCACAAACACACAATGCTGATGATAGACCTCGTTCAGGTCGTCTAGAGCCACTACACAAGCCCAGGATCGATACATTCGTACACAGGTCCTGCGAAATCAAGGACAAACGGCCAATCAGTTTTCTGTAAACTTGTACCAAGTTACAGGAATTCGAGTTGCATGTGCGACAACTGCGTGTTGTCAGTTGTGCCCCCATTAACTCACCAGCACATGGCAAACAGGCGTCAATGGTGTAGGCAGCGTAGAAATTGGGGTAATTGACGATGGCCGCGTGTAATGTTTTCAGATGAGTCCAGATTTACTCTGGATTTTTATCCGATTTAAACCAGCGGCTGCCAGGCAGGATACGCCCACATTTTCGAGAGATGGATAGAGAACAAGCTAACAAGAAAGTGATTTTTCCTACTATCAAGGGCCATAATTCAGGCAATTACAATTCAATATGCGCGAATATCGAAAGGAACTGAGATCTTTGTGTTATAAACTTACATTTCAAGTTTCAACAAAATCGGATAAAAATTGTGACGTCTATAGGGTCCACAACCTTGATATACCGTATTTTTACGCTATTTGAGAACGAACGGCGGCCATTTTGTCTGTCAATTTTGGGTTGATTTTCACGAAATTCGAATTCAGTCGTCCTTAGGGTGTAACAGTGATATAATAATACAGTTTTTTAAATTGGATAAAAATTATGACCTCTATAGGGTCCACAAGCTAAAAACGTGATTTTTCGTACAATCAGGGGCCATAATTTAGGAAGTTACGGTCCGATATGCGCGAATATCGTAAGGAACCACGATCTTTGGGTTATAAACTTACATTTCAAGTTTCAACAAAATCGGATAAAAATTGTGACCTCTATAGGGTCCACAACCTTGATATACCATATTTTTACGCTATTTGAGAACGAACGGCTGCCATTTTGTCTGTCAATTTTGGGCTGATTTTCACGAATTTCAAACGCAGCCGTCCTTAGGGTGTAACGGTGATATAATAATATGTTTTTTTTAAATCGGATAAAAATTATGACCTCTATAGGGTCCACAAGCTAAAAATGCGATTTTTCGTACAATCAGGGGCCATAATTCAGGAAGTTACGGTCCGATATGCGCGAATATCGAAAGGAACCAAGATCTTTGGGTTATAAACTTAAATTTCGAGTTTCAATAAAAACGGATCAAAATTGTGACCTCTATAGGGTCCACAACCTTGATATACCATATTTTTACGCTATTTGAGAACGAACGGTGGCCATTTTGTCTGTCAATTTTGGGCCGATTTTCACGAAATTCGAACTCAGTCGTCCTTAGGGTGTAACGGTGATATAATAATACGTTTTTTTAAATCGGATAAAAATTATGTCTTCTATACGGTCCATAAGCTAAAAACGCGATTTTTCGTACAATCAGGGCCCATAATTCAGGAAGTTATGGTCCGATATGCGCGAATATCGAAAGGAACCGAAATCTTTGGGGTAAAAACTTACATTTCAAGTTTCAACAAAATCGGATCAAAATTGTGATCTCTATAGGGTCCACAACCTTGATATACCATATTCTTACGCTATTTGAGAACGAACGGCGGCCATTTTGTCTGTCAATTTTAGGCCGATTTTCTCGAAATTCGAACTCAGTCGTCCTTAGTGTGTAACAGTGATATAATAATACGGGTTTTTAAATCAGATAAAAATTATGACTTCTATAGGGTCCACAAGCTAAAAATGCGATTTTTCATACAATCAGGGGCCATAATTCAGGAAGTTATAGTCCGATATGCGCGAATATCGAAACGAACCAAGATCTTTGGGTTAAAAACTTACATTTCAAGTTTCAACAAAATCGGATAAAAATTGTGACCTATAGGGTCCACAAGCTAAAAACGTGATTTTTCGTACTAACAGGGGCAATAATCCATGAAGTTTCGATCCGATACATGCCAATATCGAAGCAGCCGAGATCTTTTGGAGATAAACCTATATTTCAAGTTTCGTCAAAATCGGATAAGAATTGTGACCTCTAGAGTGTCCACAAACAAATTGTTGACGGACGGACAGGGGCGACGGCATAATACGTCCACATGAAAATGTGGGCGTATAAAAAACGTATTATTATATCACTGTTAAACCCTAAGGACGGCTGAGTTCGAATTTCGTGAAAATCGGCCCAAAACTGACAGACAAGATGGCCGCCGTTCGTTCTCAAATAGCGTAAAAATATGGTATATCAAGGTTGTGGACCCTATAGAGGTCACAATTTTTATCCGATTTTGTTGAAACTTGAAATGTAAGTTTATAACCCAAAGATCTCGGTTCTTTTCAATATTCGCACATATCGAACTATAACTTCCTGAATTATGGGCCCTGATTATACGAAAAATCACTTTATTTTTAGCTTGTTCTCTATCCATCTCTCGAAAATGTGGGCGTATCCTGCCTGGCAGCCGCTCGTTTATTGGTGTCAAGAGTCTATCACTTATAATTATTCGGCAGTAGTTGATTGAAATAGGCATACAAAATATTTCATGTCAGCCCTTATTTAGCCTGACCACTTGACGTCATAACGTCAAAATGACGTCGACCAGTTAAGGGTTAACATACACTGGTTACCTCTAATAAAAACAGCAGTACATTTCCGCAGTTTTGTATTGTTTCTGAATATCCCCTACTTTCCATAAAATGAGATCCGTATGTGAAGTTGCACACATAACTACTTGAATGAAAAATATCATCTATTAATATTAGTTACAAAATGACCTAAGTTATTTCCACTATTGCTAAAACCCTGTAAACACTCTACTCACATATTTTTATGTGGACGTATTATGCCATCGCCCCTGTCCATCTGTCCATCCACAATATGTTTGTGGACACTCTACAGGTCATAATTTTTATCCGATTTTGATGAAATTTAAAATATAGGTCTATCTCCTAAAGGTCTCGGATCCTTTCGATATTGGCATGTATCGGACCATAATTTCGTGGATTATGGCCCCTGATTGTACAAAAAATCACATTTTTCGCTTGTGAACACTCTAGAGGTCACAATTTCACCCGATTTTTGATGAAACTTGAAATGCATGTTTATATCCCAAAGATCTTGGTTCCTTTTGATATTCAAGCATATCGGATCTTAACTTCCTTATTTATGGCCCCTGATTGTATGAAAAATCACGTTTTTAGCTTGTGGTCCCACTAGAGGTCACAATTATTATCCGATTTAAACAAAATGTTCAAATATATCATCGTTACACTGTAGCGTCTGTTGAGTTCGAATTGGGCCAAAATTGCCGGACAAAATGGCTCCCCTCCACCCCTCGTACGCAAATAGTGTAAACATCTGGTATATCAAGGTTGTGGACCCTCTAGAGGTCCAAATTTTGATGAAACTTGATATACATGTTTATAACCCACAGATCTTGGTTCCTTTCAATATTCGCGCATATCGGATCATAACTTCCTGAATTATGGACCTTGATTGTACAAAAAATCACAATTTTAGCTTGTGGTCCCTATAGAGGTCACAACTTGGTTCCTTTTGATAATCACACATATCTGAACGTAAATTTCTGGATAGGGCCCCTGATTGTTCGAAAAATTGCATTTTTAGCTTGCGGATTCTAGAGGTCACAATTTTTTTTCCAATTTTAAAAACCGTTTAAATACATCACCATTCCACCATAATGAAGGTTATATTCGAATTTCGGGAAACTCGAAACGAAAATGCGCAAGAAAATGGCCACTCTTTGTACGCAAATTGTGTAAAAGTATATAATACGAAGGTTGTGGACCCTCTAGAGGTCACAATTTTTATTCGATTTTGATGAAACTTATAACATATCTTTATATCCTAAAGATCTGAGTCCCTTTTGATATTTGCGCATTTCAGACCATAACTTTCTGGATTATTGCGTTTGTGTTAAGTTTGTTCTCTATCCATCTCTTGGAAAACGTGGGCGTATCCTGCCTGGCAGCCGCTGGTTTTTTATGATTCTCAACTTGCCGGCGGCCTAGTTTGACTAATTATAAGGAGGGGATAAGAGACAACAAGACCCAAACCAAAAAGCTGCTGGTTTGTGTAATATTAATAAGGCAACAGAGAAGAGTTTGTAAATCTTGTTTGTGGAAACTATCAGTTTAATGTATGTTCATTCGGCATATGTAAGAGTTCTGAATTTTGACAATCTTTTAGTTTTCAGATGATTTGAGGGGAGAACAGAGTAAAATCTAAATGACAAAAGGACAGAGAGCATCTATATTACTGTGATTTTTAAGGTTTTTTTTAGATAAGATTTCTGATGTAATTTTACATTTTTTGAAATCTATATTTGTAAGTTTTAATACTTTAAAGTAAATATGTTTTGTTCATTCTACTATTTTTATAGTCTTTCTGTAGTAGGTATTCCCTATATTACTATATTACTGTGATTTTTAAGGGTTTTTTTAGACAAGATTTCTGATGTAATTTTACATTTTTTGAAATCTCTATTTGTAAGTTTTAATATTTTAAAGTAAATATCTTTTGTTCATTCTACTATTTTTATAGTCTGTCTGTAGTAGGTATTCCCTACATTACTATATTACTCTGATTTTTAAGGGTTTTTTTTAGACAAGATTTCTGATGTAATTTTACATTTTTTTAAATCTATATTTGTAAGTTTTAATATTTTAAAGTAAATATGTTTTGTTCATTCTACTATTTTTATAGTCTGTCTGTAGTAGGTATTCCCTATATTACTATATTACTGTGATTTTTAAGGGGTTTTTTTAGATAAGATTTCTGATGTAATTTTACATTTTTTGAAATCTATAATTGTACGTTTTAATATTTTAAAGTAAATATGTTTTGTTCATATGGTACTTTTTAAAATGAAGAGAATGCAATATGAAATGGCTGCAATGACTGTTGGGTTTGTTTTGCCAAATTTACAGACTAAATATTAACAAACAAGTGGTTGTGACAACGCCCCAGGGGGTCGGGACATGCACCACAATGAATAATTGCTGTCTTTACGGTATATGGTATAAATATGCCAATTGCTAAGATGATCCATTCAGAATTGCAGCCTGTAGACAATAAATACAAACATTGGATGTGGCTCTGCCCCTGGGGGTTGGATGGAACAATATAAATAGGTACCACCCTGTTATTGAAATGATTGATATGCTGAATTTGAACATAATTGCAACCTGTAGAGTATTTACAGACAAAAAATTAACAAAAAAAGTGGGTGTGATACCACACCACCAAAACAAATAGTTGCTATCCTTACAGTATAAGGAATAAATATGCCAAGTTTCAAGATGATCCATTCAGAATTCCAGCCTGTAGGCAAAAAACACAAATATTGGGCGTGGCTCTGCCCCGGGGTGTTGAGGGGCGGGTGGGGGTGGACATGGAACGATATAAATAGGTATAACCCATTGATGGATCATTCCAAATTGGATCCAAATCTGTTAATAATTGCATCCTGTATATCTTTTACAGACTAAATATTAACAAGTTATTATTTGTGTACTGATCTTTGTACGCTAATACTGAAATATGGTAATGTGGTCATATATTGTCGTCACTCCTTTCATCCACCATAGCTAATATCCAGTTGACTTTAAATTAAAACAAAGTGTTTATGGTCATGAGATGAAAAATCCTGTTGATTTTTAATGTTTTCTGATAATTACTGCAAAATATGGAGCCCCTCATGGGGAGATAAAGTTAATACCGAATCTGATTGATTTCACAGAGTCATATGACGAATAAGCCTATTCATTTTCAACGATATTCAAAAATTACTTCCAGAGTTATGGCCCTTGACCCCTGTGAAAAATCTTGTGGATGTTCTGGAGACCAAAGTTACTGGTATCCTCCGATTGACTTTGAATTTATATAGTGTTTGGCGTCATGGGTTGACGAAGCCATTTTACTTTCAATGATTTCCGATAAACTGAACAGCTAAATTCTTGATAATACACATTTTGCATACTGAACTAGAACCCAAACAAATTCTGATAATAATGAATGGGTTGTTACTTGTAATTAGAGTTTAGCGTTTTCATTACTGACAAAAGAAAAAATATGCAACAACCCTTGTTGACTGTTTAAAAGCAAAAGTAGGTTATAATATTACCCATGTACATTGACCAGTTAAAGCTGACTGATATATTTTGTGGGACTCCGTATAAAGATGTTTATTATGTTAATTTGAATATTTTATTATAGTAATAAAACATATTCTATTTATGATATGTTTATTTTGAAAAAGCTGTACTGGTCAATATGCCAGTTTACAAACAGATATATTATTAATAAAGTGTACTCAGGAATTTGAGCAAGAGAGGTTGGGGTGGTGACAATATTTCTGCTCGTTTAGATGCATACATGTACAGGATTAGAGTTGAGTGAGGCGATAACGGCAGTATTGCTCGACACATTTGGTTGTTCAATGTTATTTTGATGAATGTAGGAGAAAAAAATTATTAAATTAAATAAACAGTTATTAATTACAATGGATGGCAACCATTGATCCCTGATAATAATCTTATGACTCTTCAGTTCTTTTTAGATTTCATATATTGATACATGGTCGAAATTAAATCCATCTGACCCATACTACTCTCTTAATATTTTTGCCCCCCACCTTTCAAACTAAGCAGGCTACTATTAAAATGGGTCTGTCCGTTCGTCACACTTTTTGGAACACAATAACTCTTCTTTTAATTGAGCTTCAATGTACAAACTTGGTGTTGGTGTGTATTGGGTGAATGCCTTGACAGTGTTCAACCATGCACATTTTCCACTAAGGCTACGCACATATAAGCCATTTGATTGGTTGAGACTTTGGAACACATCAACTTTGGTTCTAATTGGGTGAGAGTGATGAAACTCAAGTATAGATCCATTATATCAATATCTTCATTAAGTTTGATGATAAGAATTTTTTGTTTAGGCCAAGTAGCAATAAGCACTTTGTTTGGTCAAAACATTGGACCATACCTCTACTTTAATTGAGGTATTGATGTCCATTAGGTGAATGTCTTGACTGAGTTCAATGATAAACAATTTGCGCTAAAGCTAAGCAGAGCTAAGTAATTTCATTGGTTGATGCTTTGGCACAAGATTTCTTTGATTCTAACTAATGAAACTTAGTGTACTGTTTGCTACTTAAAAACATTAATAGTCCACCTCTGTCCCTAAGGAAGATAAGACTCTTTAATGGGCAATTCACAATGTGATGTTATGGACAATTCTGTCGAAGATCTTGGATCTGATACCTTGGTCTGGTCTATGAAAAAAAGACAAAAAATGGTTTGATTAGTAGATTATCATATGATCACTCGAATTTTCCATAGCCTTGACCTCAGTCTACCCCAAGTTTGACTTGCATTGCATGGTCTTCTGCCCTATTTAGCTTTTTTTCTCAAAATAAATCTTGTAAAGCCACCATAAATCACCATAAATAAGAGATATTGTTTCAACATGCAAACACTGACAATGAAAAGAATGAAATTGTTTGGGTTTTTCGATCCATTGTTAATCATTCAATAAGAATAGATTTTTTTCAAAGATCTAGTGTAAACCTAAATGGCCTATATTTTACAACAAACCATGTAATAATTAAACAGGTGAAGGCTATAACACTGCAGGTCAAGGTTTAAACATATAATTTACAACATACTTGCACAGCAATTTCCCATAAAATTCATCCAAATACATCAGTTGAGTAGTATAATGATTAATATACTCCTGAAATCTTGGTTATGTATTAAAGTATCCAGCCTTATTAAAAACACATTATGTAAGATTTAGATAAGAGCTGGTCATGGTCATTTGCTATAATAGTTCAAAAATAGATAATTCAAAATTAATAATTTATCAAAATTTCATTCATATTACTTTATTCTGAGCAAAATTAACATGGTTGGAATTTTTGACATGATGTGGTACGGATTGTTTATTATCGCAGCAATGTTACTTGTTAATTAAGACAGCCTTGCTTTTCATTTTCAAATTAAATCATTAAATAGCAATTGTATTTCAGTCTATTTACATCTGCGCCATCTGATGATCTAGAGAGTTGATTATAGGCTTGTCATTTTCTATATGTCTAAATAACAATTTATGTAACAAGGGAAGCCAAAGTAAAAACCAGGAACAGGCAGATTTAGCTCTTACATACTGCATCTTTAAAAAATCAATCATTTAATCCGATATGAAAATAGATAAATTTAAAACATGAATTTAAAAAATCTATCATCACAAAGTAGATAAATTGAGAACGCGAACTTAAATCATCCCAAAATAATCTGTTTTCTATAAAGATACAAATATTTATTGGAACAATTAATATCACAGTAGGCTTCATATGAAACAATAAAATTTTGCTTTAACAGAAATATGAAAACACTAATCATTTTAAGCAATGGGATATTTCATGTAAATGAATCAGTAAACTAACAAATATTGAGTAGAATTTAGAGATAACTCTGCGATTATGGCAGTCGAAAAATAAAAATTCTAAATTTCGATACATTTTTTTTTTATCCCAAAATAAACAATACCTGAAAATTTGGATGACAAAAATGTCCAAACCTCTGACCTGTACTGACAAGAAATTGTGAATGACTTGACGCTTGGAATATTATAAATTTATAACTGACTGAATATATAACAGGCACAAGAATAAATACATTTTATAAATATCACAGCAGAATATTAGTAAAATAAAATATTTGAATATAAACAAATCATTATGTACCATATTACCCTGCATGCATCAACAAATATAGGCAGAAAGGTAGAACATATATATTTTAAGTTTCATAAAAATCGGATAAAAACTGTACAATCAGGGGCCGTGATCCATGAAGTTAAGGTCTGATACATGCCAATATCAAAAGAAACCGAGATCTTTGGGATATAAACATATACTTTAACTTTAATCAAGATAGGTTGCCAACCAACGAAACATAAAGCCACAGCAGCTAAATCGCCCGGGTGGTCGACAAGGGTTGTCGCATATGTATTCTTTTGTAGGCAATTGGGGGCATTTACAAGACAATTTCATACAGATCTGATTATAATTTTCGTTGTCTGATGGCTCACAAGGTTCTACAAACCGAAACAAGGGACTTAACTCTGGAAGTAATTTACAAAATTTGTTGAAATTTTACAGCCTTTTCGTTTTACAAATTTAAATAATGCATATAAATTGCATACAGATCGGATGAAAACTTTTGTCATTCGAACATTCACAAGGTTCAGAAAGTAAAACAAGAGCCATAAACCTAGAAGTAAATGACGAAAATTGCTAAAATTAAATAGACTTCTTCGTTTCACTAATCTAAATGATGCATATAAATTTCATACAGATTGAATGATAACATTTGTCGGTTGAGCATTGAGAAGGTTGAACAAAGTGAAATAAGGGCCATAACTCTAGACGTAACTAACGGAAATTGCTGAAATTCAATAGGCTGTTTCACTAATCTAAATGATGCATATAAATTTCATGCAGATCAAATGATAACTTTTAGCCTTAGAGCGTTCACAAAGCTCAACAAAGTGAAACATGGGCCATAGATGTAATAAACGGAAATTGTTGAAATTCAATAGGCTTCTTCGTTTCACTAATTCAAATAATGCATATAAATTTCACAAAGAACGGATGATAATTTTTGACGTTAAAAGGTTCACCAAAGTGAAACAAGGACCATAACTCTAGATGTAATTAACGGAAATTGCTGAAATTCAATAGGGTTCTTCTTTTTACTAATTCAAATGACACATATAAATTTCATATAGATCAGCAGATAACTCTTGATGTTAGGGCGTTCACAAGGTGCAACAAAGTGAAACAAAGGACATAATTCTAGAAGTAATTAACGGAAATTATTGAAATTAAATAGACTTCTTCATAACTAATGTAAACAACATATACCAATTTTAAAACAATAGGATGATAACTTTTGGCGTTAGAGCTTCACAAGAAATTGTGAAATTCAGTCAACTGTCATTAAAGGCTAATTCATGTTCAAAAAGTACACATCACATATGCACATATGTACCACTAAACATATCTGTCAAAGATAGGTTGACAGGCAACAAAACATATGCCCACAGCAGCTAAGTCGTCCGAGCGGTCGACAAGGGTTGTCACACATTTATTCTTTTGTAGGTAATTAGGGGAATTTAATAGACAATTTCATACAGATGACATTATAATGTTCGTCGTTTGAGGGTTCACAAAGTTCTAAAAACTAAAACAAGGGCTGTAACTCTGGAAGTAATCTACAGAAATTGTTGAAATTCCACAGGCTTTTTCGTTTTACTAATTCAAATTATGCATATAAATTTCATACAGATTGGATGATAACTTTTGTCGTTCGAACGTTCACAAGGTTCAACAAAGTAAAACAAGGGCCTTAACTCTAGAAGCAATTGACAGAAATTGCTGACATTCAATAGGCTTCTTCATTTCACTAATTTAAATGATGCATATGAATTTCATACAGATTAGGTGATGACTTTTGTCGTTCAAGCGTTCACAAGATTCAACAAAGAGAAACAAGGGCCATAACTCTAGATGTAATTAACGGAAATTTGCTGAAACTCAATAGGCTTGTTCGTTTTACTAATTTAAACGATACATATAAATTTCATACAGATCAGATAATTTTTGTCATTAGAGCATTCACAAGGTACAACAAAGTGAAACAAGGGCCATAACTCACGGCATAATTAACGGAAATTGCAGAAATTCAATAGGATTCTTTGTTGCACTAATTTAAATGACACACAAGCCCAGGATCGATACATTCGTACACAGGTCCTGCGTAATCAAGGACAAACGGCCAATCAGCTTTCTGTAAACTTGTACCAAGTTACAGGTATTCGAGTTACTTACACCCTAAACGATTAGAAATCGGCTACATGCAGCCCATTTGCATGCGCTACGGCAGCGTGTTGAGCCTCCATTAACTCGCCAGCACATGGCAAACAGGTGTCAATGGTGCAAGCAGCGTAGAAATTGGGGTAATCGTCGATGGGCGCATGTAATGTTCTCAGATGAGTCCAGAATACTCTGGATTTCACCGATAGGCGTGCTCGCGTTTGGAGGCGTGTAGTGTAAATGAGCGTCATGCTAATGTTAACGTCAGACAGCATGACAGATTGGGGCGTGGGTCTGTTATGGTGTGGGGAGGAATCACCATGACTGACAGAATGGACTTGCATATCAAGGAAAGGTCACTGGTATGTACTACCATGACCACATCCTGGCACCGATAGTTCTGCCCTTTGCTCAACGTGCAGGTCGACGTTTCATCTTTCAAGGTGATAATGGATGCCTGTGCCCACCGCGCTCGTGTTGTGAATGACTACCTCCAGCGTCACCATATTGTCCATATGCCTTGGCCAGCCATGAGACCTGACCTTTCCCCTATAGAGCAAGTCTTGTACTAGATAACAAACCTTAATCTCTCAACCCTCCGTGTTTCGTGATAAGACATGAGGCCATTACCTTCAACGTAGCACATGCGGGAGTGATTCGCACCCGGCATTTGTAAACAAAATTGACAATATTTAAAAAAACAACGATTGAATATTGTTATTTATAATATTTCTGCCAAACCCAATTACAATTAAGCATATAATCCTACCTGAAACGGTTAGATTGCCCCAAATCGTGATTGGACGGTTGATTAGGATTATGAAAAAAATGTTGAACACTTTATAATTCCAATAAAACCATAGAAAAAAAAAGCTAAGGTATAAATCAAATAAATTAATCTGCTCGGCTTGTAGACAGGGCCCTAATTAGTAATTGCCTCTGAAAATTGATATACGTTCACCATCAGTTTGCCGTTTCGCGGCTTCTGCCCTGAAAGGAAATCTCGAGCTGCGTGTCATGGTGGCCTTGACCAATCATAAGGCATGACGGCTAAATCTATTTGTTAAGGCCAGCTCAATTTTTGTCAAGGTCGCAGAAATGTAAATAAGGTTAGGACATGTGATTGTTGGCGAGATTGTAGGTTGGGATTAGAGTAAGCATTGGGGCTAGGTCCAGGGTTAGGGTTAGGGTTGGGATTGGGATTAGCTCTAGCCCAATTTACATCTCGTGACCTATGATGAGAGAGAGAGAAATAGGGTTTAACGTCCACTCCACACAAACTAGGTCATTTCGGGACTAACATATGGTTCAATTTTATTTTCATAATTCGCTTGCGTGTAGGGGTCTTTAGCAGTGGGAGGAAACCAGAGGACCCAGATAAAACCCGCGAGGTTGGACAGGCGACCCTACTCCTTGTCACGTACAACCAAGGAATCGAAACCACGCCAGTTGACTCAATGACAGACTTTACGATACAGCGCGCACGTGCTAACCATTCAGCCATCCAACCCCCCACCTATGACGAAAAATTGAGCTGGTCTTATCATTTTAGCACTAACCAGGCGTAAGCGGTCTATCTCTATTATGACCCTATGGTTGGTGCGATAATAAACAAAGTCTCGATTATCCATTTTTACATTAAATCATCCATCACAAAACGTATTCAAATCCACTAACTATCCTAAACTAACGATGGCACAGAGAGTTGATTAGATTATGGTCTTAATAAGTTAATTAATGTCTAATTTAGATAACTTTAGTTTAAGCCCTAAAGAAAGATCTGCATGTTTAACTTTTTTCTTCTGCAAATGAAATTCTATAACATTTTTTGAAGTATTAAAAAAATAAACAAAAGGTGTTTGAAGTATATCTGGGTACAAAAAAAAAATATTTACTATTTTGTCTGCGTTATCACCTCGGTGGAAGCGGACGTTAATAAACCTATTTCACACACTTATTTACTATTTAGTGTAAATGGGTATAAAATGAGTAAAAGGCATCATTCTGCCCTGACCAGTTGACGTTATGCAAACTGCAAGCGCCCTCAAGCCAATGATTGACCCCACGTGATGTATTGTCATGTGTCCAAAGCATTTGAAATTATAAAGGCCAGTCATCTTATACAGAGTCGCTTTCGCAATACCTCTATGAAACCATAGATGTGTACGTATATATACACCCCCATGTATGAAACGGATTGTGCTCTCGGCTGAAGTTTATTCGGGCGTTAACTAGCGACGGACCGTCTGTCAGGGATGAACTTTCTGAGACTGGATAATTGCGTCTTGAATACAAAATGGCGAGCCGACGATTCTTAAAATCAAGCCGCTTTCGTGCTAGACGCGAAAGTGTTGAAGAAGTAATTAAGTTTGACCCTACTAAAGACACTAAAGAGAGTGTTCATACGGTTTTAAAACATCTGGTCGATGACAGTGGTACGACAACGTCTAAGAAACTTGCTTACCTGAACTTTTTTGTAAAACTGTTGAGAAAATTAGACGGAAAGGCGGTTCTCGGGTTATCAGAAAACGATATTTTGTGTTGTTTACGGTTAGGGTTATTTCACGAAGCCAAAGAAGTGAGAGCAGCTACTTTAAGAGTATTACGTCATCTTATAGATCGCCCAAACTATGTTGACTCTTTACTTTATTTACAACTTGATTTGCTAATCGCCAGATGTATTGACATTTGTTTGGAAAATGAAATTGAAAGAATACAGGCATTAAAACTTATTCGTAAGCTTGGACAAACGGCTGCCAATAAAATACCATCAACTCTTCTTCATCCTGTGATTGCGGTAGGCAATGATGGTGCAACTGAATGGGACAGAATGTTGCGAGTGTGTTTGGCAACTTTATGTGAAATGGCGTTTCAAAACATTGACACATTGTTTAGATGTGGTGGAATCAGTACAATTTTACGAAGCATATTAGATTGTCATCTTTATCCTCGTCTAAACGAATCTCTTACTTGCACCATCTTGTATCTTCTGAACCATCCTAAAACACGTCATTATATAAAACCCAACACAGATTTGGAACAACTTCTAGCACCCTTTACAGACTGTCATTTTAAATATAACGGTGAAACCGAACGACCAAAAGTGGATGACAAAGAAAATCGATTTATCGCAAGTAAAATGGCTTTAATAACTGTGATGCGATCATGGCCAGGATTAATCCGACTGTGTCACCCAGAAGGTTCTGGACTTCAATCTTTCATAGGAATATTGTACTTACCTTATATCGATATTCGGAAAAGTGCCTTAGAAATGATTTTTGACCTGTTCCAATTGAAACTTCCCACTTGGACAGAAGACTTTTCTCTTGCTCTTTCGGGTGTTGATCCAAGTGAAATGAATGAGAATTGGAAACTGGGTGAAGGTTTTGTTGCAGAAGAGGGAAGAACAATTTTACCGCATGTTGCTACAACACGACCTAATTTGGTTGAAAACCATACAGCGCTCATTCTATGTGCATGGATAAATGCTGGAATTTTAGAGGCCCTTGTAGAAGTTATAACCAGTAGTGAAGGTGCCCTATTTTGTAGAGCTGTGATTTTATTAGGAGAGTTACTTCATCTGGCCAACACTTTGTTACCACCAGATTGTGCTACTTACAGCCATTGTTTGCCTACATTAATTGCTATGGCCTCTTCCTTTGACATTCCATTACCAAAGAGGCACCAAGCCAGCCTTACTGTTTCTTATCTTGATGAGTTTCATATCTTGAAGAAACGTGGGGCTATTCCATGTAGTTTATTTCTAGATCAGTTGTTACAACATGCTGGAAAATTTATGGAGTATGCTGGTAAACATTGGCATTTGAGGAGAGATAAATTATCAGAATTTTACTTCAAAAAGATTCCATCAGAAGATTTGGTCTTCCAGGCAATTAAGGATACACAAATTCTAGTCACAAAATCCTACCAATCCTGGGACTTGGATTTAATAAGTGCTTTGCTAAAGTTGCCAGATGAAAAACTGATGCGACTTGATGATCAACTGTACATAAGATTTATTCGTCAACTGACTGTTTTCTTTAAACCATCTAGTAACTTATTTTGTAGAATTGAATTAACGTCTGAGCATTGCCATAAGATTTGCGAAGTTGGATGTCACCTTATTGACTTCTTGTTAAAATCCAATCAAGTTGAAGCTCAGAAACAAATTGATGAGTGGTTAACCGATATAGCTCAAGCTATTGATGATGTTACAAGTCCATACCAAGATAAAACAGCTGCATTAGGTGTTGCAAGTTTACACCAGACACTTGGCCAATATTATTTTGTATTCATTGGAAAGTTCACAGCTACTCAAAGAGGAGAGAGATACCTAGATTCATCCGGTCTTTATCAAAAACTTTTAGAACTGATATCTAGTACAAGTCAAGATGTGTATATTAAAGTGACTATATCGAGTTTGAACTATGTAAGGAATGGAACTTCAAGAGTTCTTCTCTCAAAGGCTTTAACGGGTTCTAATGAAGTGGCACGCTTATATGCCACTAAGTTTTTGCGTGTTTTATTGAGAACTGGTATAAATGGTTTTGAGGTATGGGGCTTACAGTTGCTTGTTACACAGTTATATGATACTAGTCAAGCTGTTGCAATGTCAGCATTGAATATTTTGGATGAGGCTTGTGATATACAAGTTAATTTGCAATCATTGGTTAACTTGCGCCCATCCTTTTTACATTTAGGCCATAAAGGTAACATGATGCTATGTAAACTCCTATCAACAGAAAGGGGTTTCAAGTCTCTTATGGAAGCAAATTTTGTGTCCAATGAATTAGACAAATGGGAAAAGATGTATAATAGGAAGTATGCAGATTTTGTTGAAGAACAGTTGAATGAAGCTCTAACAACCTATGAGAAAACCTATCATGGCAGTTTTACAAGGAGATCTATTCTGAAGAGACCAAAGAAAGAAGTTTTCCTTCCTTCTCACATTTATGGTCAGCTGGTCCAACACAAACATGGCTTTAAAATACTACAGAAGCAAGACTGTATAAAGCAATACTTCAACTATATACAGTCCTCAGATTTACTCACCGATAAAGATATAATGAACTTGAAAACTGCATTATGGGCTGTGGGCAATATTGGAACATCTTCGTATGGTGTTGCATGGCTTGATGAAGAAAGTGTTATACCGGAAATTATCAAATTGGCAGAGGAATCTGGAGTTTTCTCTATCAGAGGAACTGCTTTTTACGTGCTTGGTCTTGTGGCTTCAACAAGAACTGGAGTCAATATCCTGTCGAAATTTGGTTGGGAATCCCTTTGTCATTCCCGAGAAGATCAGTGGCCCGTTTACATTGAGTCCGATTCCATGATCTCTAACATGGACAGTGAATCACACCTTTTAAGTAATGGTCAGCTGAAGGATATGAGTTCAAATGCTTCAGATGGTCATCATTTGTCTTATATAATGGAGGAATCAAGAGGAGACATGACAAATGAACAATCATTGCCATTACCAGGACTTGTTCCCAGAAGCAATACATTGCCAATGGAATCAAGCACTTTCATTAAATATAAGTCATCCAAAGCAATGTCAGAACCGATTTCATCAGGATTCAGATTACGAACATTTAGTGCTGAAAAAATTAACTTTTTTACCAGAGGAAATCCTGAAATGGTAAAGATATTAAAAGGTGAAACAGCAGACAATGAATCAAATCTTTCAATAAGCCTTTCCCCGACCAGTCACATATCAACATTTTCCGATCACAGTGTCAATGATTTAAAGTCTGGGGAGTTATCTTCTCCGGAGGACATTATCACAAAAGGAATGGGCATGTTCAAAATAGGAAGTGACAGCATTTTAAAGCATGAAAAGATCAACGGCAATGGTTCTTTGAAAAGTAAAAGCAGAACAAGTAGCCTCAACACTGATTCAACAACTAGTGGTGTTGGTTCATGCGAGTCCGGATCCTTTACAAACCCAGGAGCATCATCACTTAGCCCCAAATCTGATACTTCTGTACCCGAGTTGATAATGCCTACTGACCTAAAACCTGAAGCCACAGCACCAGCAACCAAAGAACCTGTTCACCCGTCATTGGTGCAAAGAAGGCTGGCCAAATTAAATCGTATTCCAAGTCTACATAGACGCTCAGCGTCTCCTGCATTGGCTCTTTATCAGTCAACTTCACCTGACGCCCCAACAGCTCCATACACTAGTTACCAAGATGCTGTAGGTTACGCCACTTTCAGAACTATAAAGAGAACTCGTACATACAGTGGCGATGAATATGATCCTATACACGCATCTTGGCATCTTAATCCTAGGTTGGATAGGACACACAGCACAGAATCAGATGTCAGTGTCGAAGGAAATACATTTAGTAGCTTCGGAATTAAGAGGAATGTCAGCAGTGCTTCTTTACCGGACTATGATTCTCTGTACAACCATTTAAATAATTCTATTAACAAATCTTCCCTTTCAGCTTCTTCTTCAGACCGTTTTGTGGGATTATCGTTGCCAGTCGATATTAGCATGGTGTTCGAGGTTATAGAGGGCGAGGACAGTCGGTCATACTCATCAACATTCAACACGACTCCCGATGTAAATCAACCCCTTTTCCTATCCGGACTGAAAATCGCCGTACCGGAATATGTTCCGCCGTTATCAAAGGACATTAACCTTGAGCACGAAACAAGCACGTGCTTGGCTTGTGTTCGTTTACATTGTTCCTCAAAGCCAAGTTCACAAAAAGCTTTCAGAGACATGCCTTCGTTAGAAACCGACGACGAAAACATAGGATTTGACAAAACGGTAAGAACAATTAAAACTGAGAGGCCGAGAGGAGACAGTCTTCTAGAAGCATCTTCGGTTACCCCCGGAAGTTTAACTAGTACTACAGATTCCGATGCTGGCTCAAAAAAGATATGTGAAGATGACGCTCATGGTAAAATAATTGTACGAAAGGAAGTTTTGCGTCTTCTCATAAGTTTAAGTAGCTCCATTGGAATGAAAAGTTCTGAACAGGGATTGTTAGTGCTAAAACAAAAATTTCCCAAAACATTCCAAGACCTGTGTTTTTATTCTGAAGTTGGGCATATTTTAGCAACTTATTCATTCCGCTTGGGTGCTCGACGATTTACGCAAGAACTTTTTGAGGAACTTGATATAACTTCTTTGCAAGAAGATGCGAAACAAATGCTTGGAATAACAAAGTCTACCGAAACGTCCTTCATGAATTCAATTCCTCAAGATAGTCTAGAAGGTTTAACGGAAATTTGAAAACCTCCTTATAAAGAACTAAGAAACTATTGTTACCGAGAATATTTGAAACTGGTCGCATATATTCCAACTGTAAAGCAAAATTCTATTAATTTTGATGAAACCATACAAAAAGTTACACAGTATAAGGGGCGCACTTGTTTAAGTCCGAATGAAAAATTGTTTAATAGTACGTCCGAATATCATCCGGAATAACGACTGGTCTCACGTGGTTATGTTAATTGGATTTGTCTCGATATCCACTTATTCTAATATCTTGAATCATGTAAGCTGAATCACGAATATGGAAACCATGTGTTATTTTATAATCAAAACCAAAAACCATATATTGTGGATATAACAATATTTTTATGTGCTTGTTTACTTGTTGTGTATATGAACAAAGGAACAGAAAGAGTGGTGAATGTTATAGTATATTTAATTTAACGAATGAATGGTATAATAATTTGACTACAAAACATAATATATACATATTATATAGACTCAAACTTATCATGTGATATTTAAATCAAGAAGAAATGGTATCAGATATTGTGACAGAGATTATAGACTCAAAATAATTATATGATAAAATTGAAATCAAATTATTCTTATTAAGAATGAAATTAATATTAAAGGAGCTTTAGTTCCTTTGACTATGGTCAATTGAGTTGATTTAATGTGTTATTTGGATTACAGGTGTGGCAAGCTATTTCTGTTACAGGATTAATCGAAAGTCGCTTTATTTAATAATTTTAGTTTCGTTTGGCTTATCGTGGAACACAAACTCGCTGATATTAAAAATTTCAACATTAGCTTTATCTTGATGTAAAACTGACATTGAATATAAATTATGATCCTACAAAAAAAATAATGAAATAGTCCTTGTAATAAATGTTCACAAAAGTCAGTTATTTATATTGATGATTAAAATGTAAAGTAATTTGTGAAACATTCTAGCCTCTTGACACACAGGATTTCAACCATATCGAACTTAAGAATTGTTTGTTATGAATACAAAAAGAAATCGAACGTGTCCACAAAAGAGAATAAGTTAAGAACGAAACTAATAGCAAGTTAGCTTGGGAATGGTATGAAGCCCGAACAGTTTCAAATTGCACCTGGCCTGCCATATTTGACCACTTGGCAATGGTAGTACAAAGGATGGGCGAACGGAGACTCGTTTTGAAGTGGAGGGGTGGGGAGCCGTCACCCCCCCCCCCCCCAAATTAGATCGCCAAAGGTGAGATTTGGAGCACTTTCCTGTAGGTAAGAAGCCCGTATCATTACAGGCCCGCGACTGTACAGCGAAATGGACGCTTTTGGCTCCACCTGGATCAATTTAACTTTCTTGCAATATTGCCTGTCTGGTGGTGTCTTAAAGCGAGAATTTCAAATTTTCTAAGAAAGTCAAAACATAATTATTTCTATGTCTTTTGCTCAATAGGTTATCAAATCACTATTATACGATCATGAGCATTATTTCCCACCCTTAAAAATCTATGGCACAGGAAATAACACAATTACCTCCTCTGTTTTGCTATTGACAACATGGGGCAGCCATTTTCCAACGTTGGAATTTGAAGCTGAAAATGATATTTTTGCCAATTTCTCAGCTGGCAATAGTGAATTATAGGATTATTCTTTAACAAGGTAGAACTGTTTATCGATACCATCTATTTTAAGGCTTTATTTTAATACATTTTAAAAATATAACTTGAAAATTTGCAATTGCAACTTTAAATGGAGGTTTGTCTTATCGGTTTTGTTTGGGTGTAGTGCAGTCATCCTACATTTACATGTACTATTAATCCGACTCAGCATAGGCATGGGATTTAAAGTGACATATTTGGACATAAACCACTTCATGTTTTCCGACCAAATTTGGTTGATATGTTTCTGGGTAGGTGATTATTCATAGTCATTCCAATGAATTTGATCAGCCCCATGAGCAGGCGTGGTGATGGCACCAAAAATGGGAAACGATCGGCAGTTTCATAGCACACTGTATGGAGTATGTCCGTCTTCATTGGGGTGGGGGAGGGGGGTGTTGTTGGATGGCCGAATGCTTAGCGCGAGCGCCGTATCATAAAATCTGTCATTGAGTCAACTGGCGTGGTTTCGATTCTCCATGGACCTTATAATATGTATTCTAAGGTCCATGGATTCTCCGGTTGTACATGACAAGGAGTAGGGTCGCCTGTCCATTGCAAGACCCCTGCGCGCAAGCGATTTATGGAAATAAAATTGAACCATGTTAGTCCCGAAATGACCTAGTTTGTGTCGAGTGGACGTTAAACCCCATCTATAAAACTATTGACAATCTGAAATACAAGAATTCATTGACAATTACGATAACACTCCATGTCAATGCGCCAACTCTCCTTTTGAAGACAAATATAATGACCATATTATACTCACCGGAAATTTCGATATTGTGTAATAAGATTAGTAGAATTTTTGCCTTTAAATTAATAATAGCATTATATTAATAATTATGTCCTTATTGGTACCATATTCATAGACAAGGCAGTCATATATCTCATGCACTTAAATTAAATGATTTGTGGGTTGACACATAAAAAGATCTATAAAACCAAAACATAGTCGATAATGATAGGGAAGTTACCATTCCATATTTGGCATGAGTGACCAATCACGTGATTAATAACATCATAATTAGCCAATAGAATAATTAATAGCTGTTTGTCTGCGATATCACCTCGGTGGAAGCGGACGTAAAATACAACTAACCCATCATCATCATTAATAGCTGTGAATCTAAACGTATATAACAAATGGAATGTGCGCTCTTGAGTAGACACCATGTGGGTACCGTTGGCGTTGAGGTTCAAGACACACCATCTGGATTGAGTAGACCCCATTGATTTGTAGGAGAGTCATATGGTGTAGCCTGTTCCGTCAGTAAAGTCATCTGCGAGTTAGGGGTAGGAGAGAAAGACATGTTAATTTTAAACATTGTAATGTAATCCAAGCATGTAACCTATGTATCCAGTGTTTGATATAAAATGTAGAAACGAACTGTAGCATTGTCATATCTGGGAGACAAACATCTTAGCGGCGGAGATTAAGAAGAAAATACACAACGTGAAAAGGAATCTAAGACGAGAATTACAAATATAACCAGAGACAATACTAGACGATGATGACAAGGCTATTAAAATAAGTAGCAGTGACTGGCAGAAGAGAGTATGCGCCACACGTCGGCTGTGGGGAGTTTTCCGGTGTACTTTCCACACCTAACCAGAGACGCATAGCACAGCATAGTGTTACAATTTCGAGAGCAACGAAGTAAAACAAATTTCAAAAAGTTACATAATAATCTCAAATCTCAAAGCAGGAAACGTACAGTAGCTTGGTCTGATAAATTTCGTGTACCTCGAGCATCTTTTGGAGAATGGAAAAACACGGTTTTTGATCTCTTGTCAAAGAGAATCAAGTATATTAAACAAAACCTAAAACGCCCCCCCCCCCCCCCAAGGTCCTAAAAACAAAACATCTGCAGCTGAATGCCTTGCTACTCTTCAAGATAGATTTGTTTTGACGCCCGCCGCGAAATTTTGAATGGCACACTAAGAAAATGTAAAAAGACATGATCCCTACTGAGTATTCACTGATGTCGACTGATAAGTTCTTAGATGTGTTTTTCTTTATTTATTTTAAGACATTCTGTTATGTTTCTATGACTAGTCTCTGTCTATGGTTGTATGCTGTCTGACTTTCAATGTTTTTATTTTGCAAAATTCAGATATTTTTCATATATATTTAGCAAGGTGAGCCGCTATTTGTTCATGTGTTCCAAAGTGTGCCGTTGGCAAAAAAAAAAAAGGTTGAGAACCACTGACATAGCTAAATAATTCCGATTAGTTCCTAAATTTATAGTTTATTCACCTTTTGACGTTGTCTTATCTGGATTATCGCCCTTTTTATTGTTATCTTTTATTACATTTGACTCATGACGTCATTCAGCAGACGATCCTTATCGAGACAAGTTGTACTTTCTCCGTTTGCTTCTATGTAGGCCTATTCAGTATTGTTTTTTCCTCTGTTTTTGTGGTAATAAGGACTTATGTCCAAACTTTGTAGACCTACCTCAATTCTCTCGAACGCTTATAATGCTTCTCACTATAACACATACATAGACAGACTATTTAGTTGTACCTGACTTCTTTAGGCTAATTTTATACATTTCACCGATGATATGGTTACTTGTATAGGATAGGATAGGTAATTTTCCTTCAATCATGGCTCGTACTAGTATGTTTGTTTGTGATTTCTGCGTAGTGTGTCTTGTCGCAAGTTGGTTTTGTATAATTGTTTGTGGGTGGTGCACCGCACCGCCCCCCCCCCCACGCACTTACACTATTTGAGAGAATGAAACGGTCAGTAGACTGCGTTTAAACGGCGGAAAAGGATGTTCACCAAGGATAATCCAGGAATTTACTTTGGCTATTTGTAGTAGATAGAAACCGACTAACGAAAAATACAAGATGATATTGATATTATAATAATTATATAATATAATGGATTCTACCCATCGAGGTGTAATCCACCCCAATCGAGTCACGTGATAAACACGGATTCACGATTAAAAATAGATTAGAGTAGTTTTCTTCCGATTAAAATGTTTTGAGAGGGACTAGAAGCAAACTTTTGATCGATAAATTGGTTTTAAATATGTTTTTAGTCCAAATATAGGCTATCATCATCAAATCACAGCATCACACCGTGAGTTTGTACGCGGGAATGCATCATTCGTATTCTTTTACTTTTTTAACTCCGTCAATCAAATCAAATTAATCTGTTATTTAATGTAAACTAAACTTACACAGCACAGACCTTCCTTTTCTTTGAAACTGTTTTCACTTTTATCGACTAGGCCTAGAGCTTTGTAATATTTTTTTTTTTTTTATCAGAACCGAATATTGGATTTAGATGGGATTATCGTATTAAGGTTCCCAACTTCAAGATGATCCAACGAGGCATGGAGAAACTCTGATGTCGAGTCACCGGTATAACGTCATCATGCCTTGTCCAATACGAACGTTCACTAGGGGTCGTCAAGAACTATCATAGCTGATCATGTAACATCTATGACTAAATGGCGATCGTTGCTGCTAACTCGGTATATAAGGTCTGTATACTGTAAGTGACACTTGTTCCAATTCGGACACCGACGTTTTCACCCTGACGTCAACGAAAGACTAGTACTAAAACAGTAGTAGAGGATATTCTGGGGATTAAACTTACCGTAATTTAATTACATCAGACGTAATTGGCCATCTTGTCCTTGTTCTTGCTAGTTGATTGCTTATCTTGATGAAAATGTTTTAAATCCTATAGTCATTATTTATAGTTGCTTTTGGTTATCAATCATTTTATTGACCTGGAAAGTTTCCCGAGAGTGGGAAGTCTGTCGGAGCAGAGCAGTAGGACGTTAAACTTTAAACCCCATTTCATTTCATTTTATTTCCTGGGAAATCCAGTCAAGATTCCAGTGGAATCGATTAGTCGTCCGGATGGGGTGAACAACCGAGGTGCCATGTCATGTAGCCTATATCATTGGCACTTACAGTATGTTTATGACCCTCTGACATTCTGAAATCGAATTAGGTGTCTAATAGTTCCACTGCCCGGGTAAAACTTATCGACTTTCATTTGATATGGGCATTATGAAGAAGAATTCGGGCTCGCTTATAATCTCTGTGCATATAGGTGGGCGTACTAAAATGATAATGACAAGCCTGCAGATAATGCAACAACTATAACGTATTTCAAACAACCACCAACTTTGTGATTTGCATGGAAATACTTCAAATAGTTCTCATTACCAAGCATTAGCCAATCCCAGTGGAATTAACGGGAAATATCTAATAAACTCTCATAAGTTCAAGAAGAAACCAATAGGCTGGGCCTATCCACTAGGAAACTACTATAGTCGAAAGGGAAAGGATAATAGGTTGCTTCTTATTAAATTCTTTCTTGAGTTGTTCCGTCGGTTTTTATTACACTTGGACCAGGGTTTGATAACAGAGTACTATTACTAATTTCAAACTTACCCTAGCGTGGGGAGAATGGTCGGTGTTTCGGCATATTCCAAATGCACGCTCCTAACAATAACCCCTTCATAGTTTATCCCTAAACCATTTGGTCATCTGGGGCGTTTGATTGCTTATTATTTACACCTGGGGCAAGAACCAGGCTTTACTGTAACTGGGCACAAATTTAAGATAGCTAGAGATATGACCTGAACAGAATTCACTCCTTAAATATTTCTCTATTTTTACTCAACAGGGAAAAATAAGAAGAGAAAGTCCAAGACCAAAAGTGGAATATACCCTAAACACACTTGATTGAACTGGTTCAGAATTTCATTAGCCTGGAAATTAGAAAGACGCAAAACCTTTATCTCTTCTCTCCGTTTTTGCTCTCGAATTTCGTAAAAAAAAAAAACTTTCTTGCTTCTCATGTGTTAATGTATTAAACTACACAAGTGAGATAGGTGACATCTTAATCCAAACATCTTACTCCAGTTCTAGAATGATGTGGTCATTTCTAATTTTCTTGCTCACCATCAACGCCTCCTACATTATCTAGATTGAGCCCTTTCCTCAGTCTTACTCTTTCAGCTCTTCTTTCTCGTTCCTTCATCCGTTCTCTGATCTCTTCCAATCTTTTTTCTCTCTTCTCTTCAATTTTCATCATCTTCTCTTCCAAATTTTCTTCATTTTCTCTTTTTCTCTCATTAACACTTTCTAATACGGCTATTTTTTTTGTGACAAAATTTGATTTCTTTTAACGACACCTTCTTCTCTTTCCTGAAGTGGAAACAGAATTCTAGTTTTAAATTTTAAATTTACATTAAATGCATTCGATACAACAGAAATACAAAACTTTCTCCTCAAACAAGAAGTGGTATTAACCGTTCTGGAAAGAATTATCATACTCTGCCTTATACACGGAAGGTGTAGCTAACAATACATGAGCAATGATTTAGACTGATTGCTAAGAAACTTAATTAAATTTTAAAAACAAATAGTAACCTTTCTTCTTTGTTCTGCTTTTCTTATCCGTTCCAGCTGTTCATCGATTGTAACAATTCTATCAGATTTGTGAGTTTCCAGCCTTTCTAAAAAGAGTGGAGGTTTCTCTCGTCTTGGATGAGCCTGTACTATTTCAAAACTTAATCCTCCAGCGGTTCTAATTTTTTGGTTGGCTTATCAATCCTTCTTCTGTTAAGATTGCAATTATTTTTGCTTCTTCATTTTCAGCTTTTTGCTTTTGTGTCATTCTGGATCGACATGGTATTCCTATTATCGGTAATGCTGAAATGTTTGTAAAAAAATAAATAAATATGAGTTATGAATAAAACAAAATGTGATAAAAATTGATTGGTACAATTTACGTCAAATTTTGATTGAGCTATCCGAGCTTTTAAGTCAATGTCTCAAAATAATCTGTTTTACTTTAACAAAAAGAAAACTGAACTTACAAAGGCATTTCTTTTCTTTGAAATTTTTTTCTACTCCATCGACCAGAGCTTTGTCAGAATATTCTGTAATAAATATTACATCTGAATCAAATTCTTGTGAATGTTGCGTTGTAGGCCTAACAACGGAAAACATCTGACTTATTTTGTTCTCTTCCGAAGGGACTCTTTCATTGTCCTGTGCATCTTCCGATTGGCAGTCTTCATCCACGGGTTCAACCGTATTTTGGTTGGAAAAAATACACCCCATTATAGAAATAAAACAATGTGATATAATGTAATTAGTTGGCTATCTAGGCACCAGAAAGACGTAACTAGGCTATACAGGACATTGTGGTATATGGCGTTATTGTGACGTTTTCTTCAGCACTATTCGGCAAGGCGTTATCAGTATTAAACCACACTTTCAAATCGTAATAAAACTCCATTAAAAGGCTTAACGTGCTAGCCACATAAAGTTTAACGTTCATGACGGTGTAATGTAAGGTTGTGTAAATAATAGATATGCGACAATATCAAGTCAAGATATTTTTAAAATTAATAATTTCGATTTTATAAGAGGGCACATTTGAAATATATGGACAGAAGAATAATCAATTACAGAGAATTCCGCCTCTTGTATTCTCGAGAACGTTGAAAATTCTCACATTAGCTTACCCCTATGTATGGGCTATATGAAGTGGAATGTGAATTAACGTCCTACTGGGCTAATGAAGACGTGCATACGACTTGTGCTATCAGGGAAATTATGCCCGGACAGCGGTGTTTCGGCCTACTTTCATAAACTGCCTATTATACACTGAGAACAAAAAATGGGTCAAAAATGAGTAAAACTTACTCATTTCGGTGAGTTATGAGGTAATACTCAGCTAGATGAGTCTTTTGACTCGGATTGGGGGCAAACAGGTCAGCTATGACTCAGTTTATTGAAACTTGCGTGGACACTTCTGAGTCGCCAACTAGTCACTTCCGAGTTATTAAATAATCAGTGATGAATTTGTTCCAAGTGAGTCACAGTCTAGTCAAGAGTGAATCCTTCGGATGAAATGAATTGTGAGTGGAAGTTTTTGGCGGCCGTTTGACGAAGACTGGACGCTTATTGACCTAAAAGAAAATTCAATGCATCTACAAGTATCTACCGTAAAAAGGTGAATCATTTGTGTTTTTATGTTAAGGATAAAGCTTTATACAATATTATGTTTACTATTATACAGATTAAGCGGCATATATGAAATAGGCCACTGATTTTGATTTTCATTAAAAATTAAAATTAAAATTTATTAAATCGTTCGTGTCGTTAAGAAATTATTATTATCCAGTTAGTGATTTATCTGGAAATCTTTAACTGCATGGTATTAGAACAAATTACACAAGGAAATGCCACTACAGGGCTAGAGTACAAGCACATTGACCTAGGCTTAGTTACTAGGCTAATACGATTGAGTCAAAAGCGGGTCGCCATGTAGTTCATAAATGAGTCACAGCTACTTTACAAGAAGGGTATATGCCTACTCTCATATATCGAATTCCAACTGCCAAGGGTTCTTTTACGATCACACCAATGTGTACATGGGACCTCGATTTTTCGTCTCGTCCGAACAACTATATACGTTGTCCCTTGCCAGGAACGCTTTTTTTTCACACATAATAACTATAACATTATTACCAAAAAGGCAGCTTGTTTTTTCATTCAACGCAAAACACCATTATTCTCATAATAATGTAGGTCTACATTAATAAATTAAATAAAATGTTACGGATTGGTTACAGGTATTGTTGATAAGTTTTAGCTGGTTGACCTTGGTCTTCATGTAGTGATGACTTGGGTCATTTTAATCACATAATAAACCTATAACTCAATATTTTCCATAAAATTCGAAATTAAAAACACGAATTAAAATTCAATATTTCTATGGTTTTGGGCGCCATTTTTAATGAACAAAGAAAGCATATCATACAAGACAATGCATTAATTAGTAATGGTTGATTCACAAATGACAAAACAATTATATAAAAAATAAAAACACAAAAAAAAACCCCTATAGAATGGACAATTTTTTTAAAAAATTGAATATAAAATGAGGTGAGGGTTGGTGTAGGCTCTGCCTGTTCCCTGGTGCGTTTTCATCCATTTAAAATAAAATATTGTTTGCACAAAAAATATGCTTTTATGTATACCCTCTTTTAAGGTTCCAAAGAATAGAGCCATACACCCTTTAAAATAGGTTATTGCAACACATATTATTATTATATGACTTATAGGTCATATTAATATAGTTTTGTTTGTCTTTGGTCATTTTTGTTTGACTTAAAATGATTTTTATTCTAAACTTATACCTTTTAATTCTTTTCCAAATCAGCATTCTTTTGATTGATTATGCTTGGAATTAGTAGTCCGAGCGGAGAATGGATGCTTTAATGCCCACAGCGAAATAAATGCTTACCTGGTGTGGCGAGAAATGTCAGAATTCTGCAACAAAATGTAGCAAGGACAGTCTGATTCCTAATATATGTGCGTATATCAAGGAGTTACATCCCTTGATTACCCGATTCGCAAGGCGCGTGAACTTTAATGTAATCGATATTTTTGCAGAGATAAAAGCCATACTTATGCAACTTGTTTGAGATTAATATTACTTTTTAACCCATGGCAATGCGACGTTTACTCTTTACAATGTGATTATATATTCTAATGTAAGTTGTTTTAAGTTAAACTGGATTACGTACTGGTACGAATTGGGTAGAAGCCATCTTGATTTAGGATTAAAAACCCGAGGTTTATCGGAAAACACCCGTCTGATTTCGTGGATTGTTACTACTTTACCTGTGCTAATTAGGAATTACCTGTTTAATCTAAAGGAGTGTGGATTGATTAACGGTCCAGAAATACCAGACATACGATGTATAACGTGAATCAAACTTAAATTAATGTCATTTGTATAAACATTCGAGTTGACCGAATGAATGTCAAGACAAGTTCGGTACCGCATCGTCATTTCATGGACTGATCATCGCAATACAGTCAGTCTAAATGTCTAATTTACAAACAAATTCAAGCTATAATTTTACAATTACAACACCAATCCATCAAGTACTTTTCAGTGTGTATTTAATGCTGGACATTGACATTCTATAAATTGCGCATTTTGAACCGAATAATTACTTTGTTTACATAGAACTTACAAGTTATAAATCGGGTGACATTCCGCGGATTCTGGCGCTAATCAACGAAAAGCCAGTTCGTTTGTTTTTTTTAGTGTTTTAAATCTTTAAAATGATTTAACTTTATTGATAAACAGATGTCATCAGTGACAAATGAATACATGTCCTTCTATTTTACCAGTACTAAATTTATCTGTTAAAATCTGAAGTAGCAGTGGTCTACATGTTGAAGATTAGAACAGTTTTTGTGACAAGATAGACAGATATAACATGGTGATGTCTGACTCAGACTTTAGACAAAGAATTACCCAGTTAGAACAAAAGTTGCAAGATCCGAATTCAGAACTAAATATTGATGGATTATTGGTAGGTGATAAAATGTTTCATAAATTATTCTTATGCATGACCTGTGAGCAGAATTATTAGGTGTGATTTTCTTCTTCATCGAGGCATGAGTCACAACTTCTTGCTATCTGGAAGCAAATTCCTCTGCAGTGACCCTGTTGACATTTTCTGTGTAACATCATTCAGATAATCATGGATTGACCCTGTTTTGACAGGTCATTTCAGTCCACTAACAATGGTTGCTTGTGCATTGCAGAGAACCAGTCAACTTGAAACAGGCATAAAGTATACACATTGTCTTGATGATTTAAGTTTTTATTTTATATAGTTTACTTTAACTCCAGTCATACTTCAGCTTATATCTGTTAATTAGAGATTGTTATGAACTTTGATTTCCGACGACTCTTTGTCAAATTCCAAAATGTTACCAATGTTTTTATTGAACTTTGGCATTAAATATCGGTGACGCTGTTTGTGGCCTTGCACTCAGTAACCTTCTAGTTAAATGTAGGTATAGGCCTAATTATTGATAGGTGTTGTGCATGAGACAGGATATGTTTTGGAACACCTGTAAAGATATATTGTGAAACATATTTTTCTTATTGCACTTACATTTGAATTAAATGTATATGTATGCTTTTTGAGAGTAGACCACACAAATAATATGGTCATATTCCTGATGAAATGGTTACAAGGACCAATATTACTTACAAGTGGTCCATACATGTATTAGTTATTTTACCCTTAGTTGGTCGGTCTGGTTCCTCCATGTGCATTGAAACTTATATTTTCACTGAACTAACTTCATGTCACCTGCATACATATATTATAATATCCTAACTCAATGATACATGTACAATCGCCTCAAGATTTCAATTTACAATTTGTCTGCTACTGATCGGTTTAAATCATACATTATATTTCTGAAATGTTTACTTGATGCGTGTTTGACTGATGAATAACAGAGATACATGTACATGTACTAGTTTAAAGATACATTATGTACCGTATATTTAAATTATTATTTAGATGTTTATTTACATGACAAGCCTATAATCAACTCTCTAGACTATCGGATGGTGGAGTTTTAAATAATGGATTGAAATACAATCCCCATTTAATGATTTAATTAAAGAATGGAGAGTGAGGCTGACTCGCGGTTAACAAGTAACAATCTATGCCACATCTTGTTAAGACTTCAAACAGTGATAACTTTGCTCAAAACAAGTAATTTGAATAAAATTTTCAATATATTAATTTTGCATTATCTATTATGAAAAGATTATAGCAAGAACGACCAGCTCTTTAGCTAAATCTTTGGCTACATAATGCATCTTTAAATGAAGTACAAAATAAAAACACAAGAGGATGCACATGTATTAACTCTTGATAAGTCAGCAAAAATATAGCATATTATTGCTATCGTTAGTCTAAATGAGGTGATACTGCTTGCTAAATAGACTTTATCACCAAGAAATTTAAATAAACAGAGACTCTCCTAATTAACAAATGTCCAAGCATTGACCTACAATGAATGTACCCTACTTAATATAAGGTACTGTATAGTAAAATGTCAAAGCAAAGAGTTCCTCGGTAAGATACTGAATGAATACTGAAATCTACATGTACTTGTATGTTAGTATAATACATGATGAAGTTTATTTGTGTATATTTTATTTTTTAAAGTCAATGATATTGATATTTTTCAGGATGGATTAGCGTGTATTGTTGCTGATCTTGACAACCCTGCCATTAGAAGAAACAAAAATGTGGAAAGCTTTCTTAATAGATGTGAGTTGAAGGTTATTTTTTATATGCCTGTATATTGCTGTTGCCTCTACATGTACATCTGTACGCCCGTCCCTCTGTCCGTCATCCACAATTTCTTGTGAACATACTACAGACTACATGTGCATTTATTATCTGATCTTTTTGAAATTTATATATGTTGTTTACATTAATAGTGAGACAAAGAAGCCTATTTAATTTCAACGATTTCCGTTGATTACTTCTAGAGTTATGGTTCTTGTTTCACTTTGTAGAACCACTAAAGTTATCATCCGATCTGTATTCAGTTTTTATGCATTGTTCAAATTAGTAAAACATAGAATCCTATTGAATTTCACCAATTGCCGTTAATAACTTCTTGTTAATATATGTTTCTGAGAAATTACATGTATGTAAATATGATGAAAAAATAAGTATGTACATGTATGAGAACTATACATTTAAGACTCATTGTTTTAGATTTAATAGTGCAATTGAAAATGTGCATTGCAGTTAGTTCAAAATCTTTTAAATGCAATATACATGTATTGATGAATCATTAATATACTTTATCAACAGACTCAAGATCCGTGGATTTTCTCAAGGAGAAAAGAGTGCGAGCAGAGGATTTTGAAAAGATCAAAGTTATTGGAAGAGGTGCCTTTGGGGAGGTTCAGTTGGTATGTACATATACTTCTGACTTTATTGTTGAATGAATAATCTACATGTACCTAAAATAAACCTCTAGTTTTAGAGACTCTTATTGAATGTAGATAAATGTACTGTACATGGACATAAGATTTCTATTGAGAACATTTCAGGTGGACTTGCCCTTTATCAACTATTGAAAAAAACTAATTCCAACTTAATACCTGTATAAACAAAAATAGTGCATGTGTAAAGCATATTTAGAGATTTAAATAACCTTAAGAATAAAAGCCATAAAAATGGGATTGAAAAAGAAAGGATTAAAAAGTGAACTTACATGTATGTTAAAGTATAGATGTACAAAACGAGATATATATTACTAGTAAATATAACATTAGGAAAGAGTTGTTTCTATTTCCATATCTATACATGTAGTTTGTGTTACTATCATACATTAGTATTTCTAAAATTGTTTTCTTTTGGTTTGCAGGTTAGGCATCGGACCACTAAGAAAGTGTTTGCCATGAAATTATTGAATAAATATGAAATGGTGAGTTTTACATTTTTTAGTTGTGTTTAAATTTCCTCAAAAGCCGAAATTCTAAATACAGAATAACAAGAAACAATCTGATTAAAACACAGATCCTATTTCGTTTCATTTTTTATAGTTTAAAATTTTGTTTTACTTGTCTTTACTACACTAGGATCTGGAAGAGTTGTTATATTAACGGCGGTTTGGTTGAAGTGAGGGATAAGCCAATGAAACAGTCAGTTACGGCGTCTTCTTGGCGTGCCATACACGGAACTGTGGGTAAAACACTTGAAACGCCAACGTTGATTGATTAATCAATGTCTGACGTCATAGGGTCAAAAGCCGCTCGTACAACCCCTGACACGACCTTCGAGTACAACTTGTCAGATCTTCATCTAGTGTAGGCCATCGAAAGTATAAAAAAAAACAAACAAAATATAGATTTGTATTTTAATCAGATTGACCAAGAAAAATATGTTTGCCAGATTCATTTTATCTTACAAGATTCTTCAAACCAAGCACATTTTGAATGTGCAATTACTAAAGCAACTGATTGTCATTTGTATTGTTAGGTCACTATCGTATCTAATTTTCATTGCTAGAGGGGGGGGTGGATGGCTGAATGGTTAGCGTGCGCGCGCTGTATCATAAAGTCTGTCATTGAGTCGACTGGCGTGGTTTCGAATCCCCGGTTGTACGTGACAAGGAGTAGGGTCGCCTGTCCAATCGTGGGTTTTCTCCGGGTCTTCCGGTTTCCTCCAACTTCTAAAGACCCCTAAGCGCAAGCGAATTATTGAAATAAAATTAAACCATGTTAGTCCCAAAATGACCTAGTTTGCGTCGAGTGGACGTTAAACCCCATTTCTCTCTCTCTCTTTCATCGCTAGATTCAAACTAACATGTACTCTTTATTAAATTTTTAATTAACTTACGAAATCAAAATATTAACTGATCAAAAGGTTGATCATCTCTCAAGTTTAAATCAGTTGAATTAAGAGATCTCATCATACAATTTTTTTTAGCCAAAATAAATGGTGACGCTAACTTGTTTTTACCACAATTCGTTTTATGACAGTTTATCATATCCTTTTAAATACTGAATGTAATTGATTCCATTTCCATAATATTATTGTTTGCAATATTCTTGTCATATGATTTGATTTCCTGGTCATCAGATACAAAACAAGTTTATTTGGTCAAATTGTTACTAAAAAATATCTTTAAGTGTGAATGTACATATGCATGTAGCTTTAAACTATTACCTTCTAGAGGTCAAGTCAAGGTTCCTATACGAATCTGTTTCTTTAAAGGCGAAATCCCAGATTGCACAGGGCACTGTAAATAAAGTGGGTTTAAATGTGGTAAAAAAAAAAGTCCATTTAAAGGGACAATAACACTCTTGCTGTCTTGAAAACTCCAGATAATAAATAATATCTCTATCTAAGTACTAGATGTTTAAGTGTCCTACCTGTTGTGTAAATTATTCATTACATCCTATTTTACTTGACCAGAGGGTTCGAAAATATTATTAAATCGACGTTTAATTTGAAAAGGATTCCGTTAGACGTTTCAAACCATTTTGTTGAATTTTTCAAAATTTTTAAATAAGGTGTGTTAAGATGAAATTTGTATCATCAATTAATTGAAATATTCTAAAATAGTACAATTTGTTGACCAGAATAAAGATTAGGACATATTATTCAGTTACAACAAGAGTGGTATTGAGCCTTTAACTTTAACTTCTCTGAAAATTTGAAATGTAAATATTGAGTTCTGTATTGTTCGCAAGATTTGCTTAACATGGTTAAGTAACATATGAAATTTTCGTCTCCAGTTGTAGAAGTGACATGATTATTAACCAGTATTATGTACTAAAATGATTTTGTGTATCTCATATTTTCTTTTATTGTTTAATTGTCAAAATATGCATATTGTACACTTTAGAAAACAACATAATTAATTAGTCTCAAAATGACTTAATTGTCCCCCGCCTTTCGAAAAAGCAGGGGACTATTGAAATGGGTCGGTCGGTCTGTCTGTCTGTCCGCCCTTCACAATAACTTTCCTTCTAATTGAGCTAGAATGTTCAAACTTGGTGTAGGTCTTTATTAGGTCAATGCCTTGATGAGGTTCAAAGATGAGCATTTTCTGCTTAGGCAAAGTAGAGATTTCAGTCTTATTGGACGAGACTTTGGAACACAATAACTGTCCTTCTAATTGAGGTAGAATGTTCAAAATTGGTGTAGGTGTCTATTACGTGAATGCCTTGACATAGTTCGTTCATGTGCATTTTCCACTTAGGCTAAGCTGAGATGAGCAATTTGATTGGTTGAGATTTTGGAACACGATAACTTTGGTTCTAATTGGGTGAGAGCGACAAAATTCTGAGTATAGATAGATTCATTATATCAATACATTGAATAAGTTTGATGATGAGAATTTTCTGCTTAGGCTAAGTAGCGATAAGCAATTTGATTGGTCAAGACTTTGGAATTTAACAATTGAGGTATAGATGTTCATTAAGCGAATGCTCTGACTGAGTTCAATGATTAATATTTCCCATTAAAGCTAAGCAATTTCTTTGGTCGATGCTTTGGGACAAGATAACGTTGATTTTAACTGATGGAGAGTGATAAAACTTAAGTGCATAGTTTCACTCACTACCAGGTACATGTACTTCAAAACCTGAGTTTGATATTGAACATTTTAAGCTTAGACTAAGTATAGATAATCAGTTTGATTACTCAATACTTTTGAAAAAGAAAAATGTGCAATTAATTAATATGTGTCATCTATTTTCTTTTGGGGGGGGGGGGATTTCGGCAGGGGACATCAGCACCACTGTTGGCTTGTTGATTTTAAATGTTGAGTGAGACCCATTTACATCCCTTTCTGTTCTTTCTAATTCACTTGTTATACATGTGCTTGTAGAAATGATTTTCTTGCTTAGAGATGAAATCAACACTATTGTCTTATTATCGGTACTGGACACACCCTTCTCAAAGATGCATTTTATGATCACAATTTAAGCCTATATAATCCACCACAAAATTGTTTACATAGTTGATGTAAAAAAAAAAAAAAGAACTTTTTAAATATTTACATTTATTATAACGATGTCTATTATTCCATTGATATTTTATTTCAATGTCTGACTTCAGTAGCTTGTAATACCTTTCTTACATTAATCCTTTGAAACCTTTCAAACACACTCTATAGATGATTTTGGTTTTAAATTGGTTGAGTGGCCGTGTGGTCTGCCCTTTGGAACCTTTTGAAAACTCTTTACAGATTGATTTAAAGTGGGTTCAATGTTCTAACAAGGCCTTTTATGTATTCATGTAGTCATGAGTTTGATATTAAAGATGCATTACATGTACATGTATATACTGCAATGAGCTAAATCTGTCAGTTGCAGGTATTTTTTCTGGCTTCAAATCTTATATAAATTATTATTTAGATATTTATTCACATGACAAGCCTATAATCAACTATATACACTATTTGATGGCCGAGATTTAAATGGATTTGAACACCCACAAGATTTAGAAATTCAACAATAAAATGAATAATTGAGACTTATTCTTGGTAGTCAAGTACTGTTGCTACGATAATAAACAACCTAGATCTTCAAATAGTCATAGCTTTGTCCAGAATATAGTAATTTGAATGAAATTTTCAATATATTCCTTTTTCATTATCTATTTTTGAACTATTATTGCAAGAACGGCCAGCTCTTGATCTAAATCTTACATAATGTATCTTTAAGATGTTGTGGGTTAGACCCCATGTTTGTATGTGACAAGGAATCGGGTCCCCTGTCAAACCTTTTAATGGGTACTCTGGTTTCCTTCCTCTTCAAAAGATCTGTATGAGCAAGTGAATTATTATTTATTCTAAAAAAAACCAAACAACCCTGGTTTATGTTGTGTGGACGTTAAATTAGAATTGATACGTTTTAAAGGACAATATTGGTGTCAGTCATAATTACATATGTGATAGAACTGGTTAAATATATTCCAAATATAATTTTAACACAGAGATCATTGCTACGGGAGATGTGTAACAAGCACGTGAAGAAACGGGAAGTGACGCCAAACATGACAAACACGAGTTATCCTTCTATATATGACTGAAGTAATGAGCGATAACAGACATACGATCAAATTTCATTTCACTGATAATTCCGTTGAAGTTGAAAAGTTATTATATGGGACGGTGAGAGGGTATCTCACAATTCAAAAATAGAATTGGCTGTCACTAGATAAGGGAAAACGAGAAAAATAAAAAAATCCCGTGCATTCCCCCGTTTTTATTCATTCTGTTCTTAATAAAAACATGGTAATGCACAGACTTTTTCTAATTTGTTCGTTATCTTTTATCTAATGACAGCCAATTCTTTTTTTGAATTGTCAGATATCCTCTCACTGTCTCATATAATAACTTTTCATCTTCAACTGAATTATCAGTGAAATGAAATTCGATCGCGTGTCTGTTATCGCTCATTACTTCAGTCAGTTATATAGTAGGATAACTCGTGTTTGTCATGTTTGTCGTCACTTCCCGTTTCTTCACGTGCTTGTTACACATCTCCCGTAGCAATGATCTCTGTGTTAAAATTATATTTGGGATGTATTTAACCAGTTCTATGACATATTTTATCATGACTGACACCAATATTGTCCTTTAACGAATACATATGTACCTAATATCAAGTGGCCAGCAAAGTAAGCATTTAGTTGACTGGCAACTAACAATCTCTATCTATGTACCTAAAATGTACTAAGAACAAATGTTACGTATTTTAATTTACAAATTAAGTGGATCACTTTTTAAATTACTAAAATAACGAGTATTCACAAAGTCAATCGTTTCTGTATTGCCCATGCCAAAATAAACATTTCTACATTTGATTTCCAACTGGAAGACTTAAGATCATGCTTTGTTCAGCTAACATGAAGAAAATGTCAACATTTATCGAGAATCTGTCCTACTCTAAAATTAAACCTTCCACAAATACACAAATCAATGGTTTAATGTCATTTCAAATAAAGTGAAATAAAACTATACTTGTTGGGGGTAAAACAACCAATACATCAAGCATTATTAAGATTCTTTAGAATTAAATTTCTAAAAAAAGAAGAAATTTGTTTTGTTTTTTTTAAATTTAAATTTGTGAATTGAGCATCATCACTTAAACATACATTATGCAAGAGCTAAATCGGCCAATTGTAGGTCTTTCTTTAGGCCTGAAATGTTATCTGAATTATTAATTAGACATTAATTAACTTATCCAGACCATAATCAACTCTTGATGTCATCGCTAGCCTCCAATATTTACTGGATTATAAACCGATCTGCTGCTCAACACTCATTCATGATTAAATCAAAAAATGGATAATCAAGGCTATGTTTTTTATCGTACCGACTTTAGTAATGATGATTGAGGCTAGGCCCAAAATTCTTTGTTCAGAGTGGATCGATTTGACTGAAATTTTCAGGAAATTCCCTTTACATTATCTATTTTTTAACTATTATAGTGAGAACTGCCAGCTCTTTATCTAATCTCCCATAATGTATCTTTAAACAGATCTGTTTTTAACATCAAGTGTCAGTGTCATAGCAGATTTCCACGGGGAGCCACAGTGAATCTGGATTTTCCAGTCTAGTTTGCCCTTGTCAGTGGTGCAGGACGAAGGGCTTCTAGTCAAAACTGAAATCTCATGTACACCACTGGCAACATGATTCCCCGACAGTTTGATATAGGGTTAGACCAGGTCGCTGTCTAGCCAAAATTTCTGTCATACATGTAGCACACTGTATGGCATATTCTCTTCTTTATTAACCCGGTTCGGTCAGCAAAGTAAGATGTTATATGCCACATTTCTTTTCAGTTCTAAATAAAGTTCTTTTTATTCGTACATTAGATCTGATTTTATAGCTCCATAAACAGATGTTTATTCCTGTCTCCACAGACATTACTATATAACATCCCTATTTACTCTATATAAGTAGGTTAGCAGCAGTGGAAAAGTTTACAAGCCAAAAAGTAATTGAAACCCTGCTATGCTTCACACATACAATTACATAAACAAGTGGGCAGCAATTGTGATATGAATACTGTACTTCTCTTAAGTACTGACAGGAGTTTACTTAAAGCTTCAAATCTGTTTGACTGCCAGCAATTATTTACTAGTTGTAGGTTAAACAGGAAACTGATATTACACTTGTCTGATGTGATGTACATTCACTGGCTTTACACAGTATAAATATAGTCTTTGTTGTCTGTATCTAACATACACGCTTAATTAATTATTATTATTATTGTTATTGTTCGATTTATATAGCGCTTCATTACACGTGAAGTGTTTCTAAGCGCATATCACAAACATATACTTCAAACACACAGAAACAATCAAAATCAGGAGAACATAATTAAACACAGCTGCCTGTTAGGCGCTATTATTCAAAGGTTTATATCCAACAAATCAACCGGCTAATCTCTATATTGAACTCAGTCGAGGTATTACCTGATGAACACCTACACCAAGTAGAGTTCAAAAATAAAAACGAAGTTTAAAAGAATCAACTTCATTAACAAAAATTAAACAATCAAAATCTAAACAGATAAATCAAATTCAAACGAAACAAATAAAACAAAGAAAATGAAAAGAGCAGTTCATTACCATTCTACATTAACAAAATAAAGGAAATCAACTTGTGAAATTTTTTTCAAAAAATAAGAGCAAAGTAACACTTAATCTAATGTTAATAGTTACTCTAACAAACATTCTGACAATCGATTCATAATTTAAATATTCGGATAAAAGAATTGAAAAATAAAAAATCAGTTAGGTCCAGCGAAATACGGCATGAGTCTCAACCGAATATAAATTTCTAGCGTCTGGTTATTCCAGTCTATTGCGCATGCTCTCCAGATAAGTTATGGCATCGCCGTATGACATGAGTTGTGGAATATGTCTAGCCTCACTCCTCCTGGTCACTTGTTACAAATGACGATGCAATGCACTATGGTATATGATTCGTGTACCTATGGTAAAATGTTTATTTTGTCTTAAATATTGGATATTTCCAATTTATTCAAATTAAATAAATGTTGACCTGCTTGCACAGTCAGAGACCGGCTTGCACAGTCAGGGATCTTTAGTTTTCTATTGTATAAATATAATAAAAATATTTGTCAGATAGCAATCAGTGCGTGAATTATTTTGATTTGTGGAATGATTCATATATGACACATAAGTTATTAACCAGTACTGCAGTAGCTTATGTGATGTATATGATTATTATCAAAGCATAATGTAAAATAAAACAAACAAATACTTGCTTGAATATAATATTTATAGTTAAAAATGAATTGCATCCATTTTAAGGTTTGAAATATTTATTTCCTTTAAGTCGTACAGCCATCAGATACAACAATTAAATTTGAATAATTGCCCTATGTAAAAAAACAAACAAAACATCACAGTAGTAAGAATACTATGATACAAATGTTATTTATATACAATGTAAGTTCTCCTATATGTACATGTCGCTTGCCCAACCGTGTGGGTTTTCTCCAGGTCCTCCGGGTTACACCCACTGCTAAAGACCCGATAAGCGCAAGTTATATCTTCTTTCTTGTTATAGTAAGATATAAATGTTATGTACATGTACATTTTAAACTCACCTACATCTACAGTACATACCGTGTGCCCAACCTTGTGGGTTTTCTCTAGGTCCTCCAATTTACTTCCACTGCTATAGGACCCCCTTATGCACAAGTACAGCACAGTGGCAAAAACACAAATTATTTATTATGTACTAGCATTATAAAAGCATAAATAAGTACACAAATACAGTAGCAAGAATATAAATTTGTTATTATTACTGGGAAATCTACACGTATGATAAACACATTACTGTATATGAGCAATCAATGCAATCTTAATCATAAAAAAAGATGAGTTATATGTTGCTTTTTCTCTACAAACAATGGGCATTTTACCAATAATTCCTATTTAATACCTGTTATATCAATTTATATAATTATTTAACTAATAGAAATCCTGAATAATTTTGCTCAATGCTAATACAAAAGAAACCTGTATTGAATTATTTTCTTATAATTGAGATACATGTATTCTACTATTATTTTAGTTACTTGTAATCAATTGAATATCTCAAACATATTCTTAAAGATAACAGAATATATCTGTTTCCATAGTACTAGTTGTATATTTAACCACTTCCAGAAACAACAATTTTAATCATGATTGCTTGTAATTATTACATTCACAAATTTACTTTCAGATTAAAAGGTCTGATTCGGCATTTTTTTGGGAAGAAAGAGAGATTATGTCCAATGCTAACAGTGAATGGATCGTACAGGTATGTAAACATCATCATCATTATTGCTATAAATAACATTTAGATCAAATGACAACAGGTACTGAAAAATAACATCTTGAGACTTTTCTTATGAATCAAAGTCCAAACTATCTCTTTGTAGTAACAGGTGTAAATCAGAAGACATTACAATCTGTTCTGTTAGAACACTTGATACCACTTCTGACATTCTACTGCATTTATGGCAAACTACACCTGACATTCATGAAGTAAATTAAGCTGCTATGATGTAAACGTTATTGAATTACCTTGTACAAGTTGAACTTGGTGAACCATTAACAATTATTCACACGTTTAACAGTTAATGTTAAAGTAATTATTTCTTCAACCAACCTGTTTGTAGCTGGAAATAGTTACATGTATCACTAGTTATTATTAACAACCAGACAACTAATGACATGTTCACTTCTCATCTTGTCTTTAAATAGATTTCTGTGTAGGATTTGGAATTTTTAAATAGATTTTTTACATGCTCAGGTATAATTCAATCATCTCCACATTATTTGTTTAAATGAAACAAGGCTAATTAAGATGGGCATGTGGTGTGCTATAGTGAAATTCTTGATCAGGCAGCAGTGTTTCTGCCTACTCTTTTCATCAAATTGCAACTGTCAAGGTCCATAGCAACCAAAAACACGGATGGGCCTCAATTTTTCGTTCCATCTAAATGCTTTTACTTGTCAGGTCCTCTGTCCTGCACCATAGACATGGGGAAACCAGGTTGGAAAATTTGAGATACTTTTTCTGCCATTACCAGAGGATCCAATTTAGAACCCTCTAGATACCGTGGCTCCAATATTCATTTAAAGTTAAAGGCCCAATATTCCTGAATAAACCATAAACATATACATTATACATTAAAAAGTAGTCTTGATAGAAACCATATTGTTCCCCAAATAATTAAGATTGATCAGTCCTAAATAAAGTTTGCATTACCAGTACTTTTTTATTGATTCCATGCTACAATCTTTAATTCATTGTACACATCTGTTGATGTTTAAACCGCAACTAATTTCTACCCCCTAAACATCTAGGTCAAGTTTGTAGTTAACCTACATTTTTTGTTTCAATACTCTAAATCACTATCTGAAGAAAACTTTTCAGCCCTTATTTTTGTTAAATTTGAATAAATAAAATGGCACTAGGCCTTCATTGCCACATTGTGTTTTAAGAACATTCTCAGATTAACAGGGTACACAACACATTGATAAAAGTTGGCTTAGATATACATGTACAAATTAAAAGCCAAGTGATGTGAAAATTGTCATGATCACTTGAAACTCCACTTTGGCAAATATGTAGACTTGGCTATCCAGGCACTTTGAGAGTAGGGGGACTTGGGGACTTTTTGTCAAACACTTTTATGCAAACTGAAAGTTTTTGTTCCTGCAAAGATTATTACGGTCATTCAGGACTAGGTTAAAGGTTTCTTCAACACCTAACAAAAATGTCAAGCCACAATTTATTTGTGAGCCCTTTAGACTTCACAATTTTTATCTGATTTTGATGAAACTTAAAATGTACATGTAGGTTTATATCCCAAAGATCATGGTTCCTTTTGATATTGGCGCACATCGGACAGTAACTTCCTTGATTATGGCCCCTGATTGTATGAAAAATCACATTTTTAGGGTCACAATTGTTACCGTTTATATCCCAAAGATCTCGGTTCCTTTCGATATTCGCACATATCGGAATGTAACTTCCTGGATATTGGCCCCTGATTGTACAAAAATCGTGTTTTTAGCTTGTGGACCCTCTAAAGGTCACAATTTTTATCCAATTTAAAAAAAATAAAAGCATTCAAACATATCACCGTTACACCATAATGACAGCTGAGTTCGAATTTCGTGAAAATCAGAAAGAAACTGCAAATAGTGTAGAAGTATGAACATGTAATTGTAATACCAAGGCTGTGGACCTTCTACTCTAGAGGTCACAATTTTTATCCGATTTTGATGAAACTTAAAATATATGTTTATATCCAAAAGATCTGTGTTCCTTTCGATACCTGTGTGTATCTGACTAACTTCCTGGATTATGGCTTCGGGTTGTTGGAAAAATTGCCTTTTTTTTTTAGCTTGTTCTCTGTCCATCTCTTGCAAAATGTGGGCATATCTTGCATGTCAACCATTTGTATCTTTCTTTCAGCTCCATTTTGCCTTTCAAAACATGAGACATTTATACATGGTTATGGATTACATGCCTGGTGGAGATTTAGTTAATTTAATGAGTAATTATGATGTTCCTGAAAAATGGGCCAAGTTTTATTGTGCGGAAGTTGTTATTTCTTTAGATGCTATTCATTCAATGGGATTTATCCACAGGTAAACTTACTTTATTAAATTTGTATGAATGTTGACTTTAAGACAGGAGGATTCCTCCAGGGCACAAATTTTGATTGCATAGCAGTTTTCACTAAGAACTATAAATTTGAAAACTAATTTGGACAAATAGTGGTTATATTATTTACTACCATTTTCAATGAAGCAATGCTGTTTCAAACTTTTTCTTGATCAGTAATGTTTTGCTCTACAGAAGTATTTTGTGTTGCAAATGAGTATCGATTTGCACTGCTTATTTTGTTATTCCTGAACTAATATTAATATAATATGCCATGTTATTTCCAAAATGTCCCTGCTGTGTTGTGTAGATATTCGGCATTGATTCTCAAACAGAAGGCACATGCCTCCCAGGGTAGGAATTTTAGTCATGGGAGGAACTCTGACCTGTGAAAAAATAGTGAGTTGTGTATAAATAATATTAAATGAAAAACCAATATACACAACTGTTACTGTGAGCATGAATTATCCATTTACAACACATTGCAACTTCAAACTTAATACCATTAGGGACTATCAAATTATTGAGGTTTACCACTGTAATAGTTTAATGGTGGAATAATTACTTAACAACAATTCAAAATAGGGCCTGAATTGAGGAAATCGGGGATGATAAGGAGAGGAATGTAACTGGGTCTCTGAGAACCACTGCTATACAGGTTATTCCTATTTGCAAAAAGATAACCAGTCTATGAATGTATTGAAATGGACACTTTGTTTATTTTGGAATGGATTTCAATGCATCAAACTGCCAAACTAAAGTACATGTGTAGCTTTGATTATTATTGCATGCTGTACATTTCAAAAAGAATGATTTATTAAGACTAATTCTAATATAGTCGATATATGTAAATAATATTCCATTTTGTGATCCATTTAAAGTAACAGTCCCACCAGATCTCACAGGGTACCTGTGAATAAAAGTGGGTTTAAGTATACAAATTAAACACCAAAATACATTTTTATATGCCAACATTGAAATGTGGTCGTATATTGCTGCCGGTCCGTCCGGCACCCACAATTGCTTGTGGACACTCTAGAGGCTAAAGTTAATATCCGATTAACTTTAGATTTATACACAGTTTTTAAGGTCATCAGACGAAGAAGCCTATTGATTTTCACTGATTTTCGATAATTACTGCCAGGGTTATAGCCCTTGATCACTTTGAAAACTCTTGTGGATGCTTTTAGAGACCATAGTTATCATCTGATAGATTTAATATTTATACACCGTGTTTATTCCTAAATAATCATTTCGATTGACTGTAGATCGATACACAGAATTTAAGGTCTTGAGACGAACAAGTACAATGTATATTGATTTTCAATGATCTTTGATAACTTGAACAGCTAAATCCATGATATTAAATGTTTTGTATACTAAACGTTAGAATGGGCCAAACAAATTATAATGATTTCTGATAATTACTCAATGAGTTGTTACTCTTAATCAGATTTTAGTGTATTATAAATGTTTCATTACCGACAAAAGAAAAAATATGCCACAACTCTTGTTGACTGCTCGGATGACGGGCGTATGTTTCATTGCCTAGCAACCTATCTTTAAAGTGGTTGTTTATTTCATATTGACCACAACCCCTCGATTATTCCTTGACAATTTGAACATACATTTTGGTTTAGAAAAAATATGCCACAACTCTTGTTGACTGCTCGGATGACTCAGCTGCTGTGGGCGTATGTTGTGTTGCCTAGCAATCTATCTTTAAAGTGGTTGTTTATTTCATATTGACCACAACCCCTCGATTATTTGTTGACAATTTGAACATACATGTAGGTCTAGAATATTCGAAACCCCAAAATCACAATATGTGGAAGCACTTCATCTATAATTTGACAGAAAAGAACAACATTTAAATTTTATGACCTGTCTGTCTGTCTTCCTTAACAAAACATTTATTTGAATGAAAAACTTTTGTTTTTATCACGGATGTTAGTTTAAAGGAGTCTAGATAGTTAAATCAATTAATGCCCAGCAAAACACTTTCATTTATTTATATTTGTGCCACTTGGAAATAAAATTCCTGGAAAGCATCCAATTTCTAAACTGAAAAATAACAATGACATTAAATGTGTCGGAAGTCATGGGTACTATTAAAAGGACAATATGGAAGATATTAAGAACTTTCTCATCCCCTCCAGCAACATTAGAAATGTATTAAGATAAATAAAATATCCACTACCAGTATCTACGTGAAATAATTCTATTTAAACAAAAACACATGTTTCTAATAAAGCCGAGTATAAATGGTATAAAAAGAATTTGTAGATTTGATAAACAAGTATGAAGATATTATTAACATGTATTTTTTTGGTTTCTGAATGTATTTAGAGCTATCTTAAGGATATTTACAAATCGTGTATTTTGTAAAGAAGCCAAAATCTAGTTATGTGTGAAATGCATGGTAACCACAAATATCACGAGAACAATATGTGTATATATAACGCTGGGTTATTCCGACATACGAAGAGATCTGTAGTAAAAGTAACCACAATTCTTATGGTTAGGATAATTTGAAATAAAAAGCTAATTATAAAACCTGTAATGTACCAGTACTTTTTTTTAAAAGTTATTTCAATATCGTGGTTGTAAACATAACCTACTCTGATCTCTGTAGCATTAAAAACTATATGAATGCGATAAAACACATTGCTATTTAGAGTAAATAGTAGCTTAAGTTTATTAAAGTTGAATAAGGTGTCCAATACCTTATTCTAGTCATATTTTGTTGTCAACTTTGTCTGTTCACCAGTCAGTCGTCCTGTATTGACTAAAAATTTATACACAAAGTTTATGTTCCATTGGGAAGAACTAGAAGCCAATCAAGGGTTGTTACTCTGTGACAACCTTGTAGGCGACTTAATTACCTGCTGTGGGCGTTTGTTTTGTTGCCTGATTAACTATCTTTTAATTTTTTATCTCATGTAACTCTCTCAAACCAATTTCAATGCTGAAGTGTGACTGAATTGTCTTGTGTGCAATTCTGTAAAATCCGAAGACAAATGATGTAAAAATTGCTGTCTCCCCAGATACATTAAGACTATTACACCAGTTGACCTATTCTATTATATTGACAAAGTAAATTTAAAGAGCACTTGTTATTAAACTACATTTTACTATCCTAAAATACTGTGTTCAATAAACACAATGATAGTAATTGAGAAATTCTGATAAGCTAAGTAGTATATTAAGTTCAGTGTATATTGGATATATTATACCATCAAGTATACAATAAACTATTATTATTTGACCTAATAAATTTTGATATAGTCTTTAATTCTCATTTACTATTACTACTTGAAATATATCACATAATTCGATAAAAACTGTTTTTAATTTGGTCTAACCAGATTTTTGATTTACTGGACTTGATTGTGTACACATTGGCCATTATTTTAATGGAAGGGTTTAAACAAAATTCCTAAATATAATGTTTTCTTAGTTGTTTCCAGGAATTCTTTTGGTCAACTTTTGATTTTTTGGCTTTTTTTTTGTCTCTTCTGGGGTGCGGGGTGGGGGTAGGAAGGTAGTTGAATGGTTTAATGCGTGCACGTTAGAACATAAGGTTAGAACATACATGTTTCGATTGCCTCCTTTTATGTGAGTTTTCTCCAGGTCCTCTGTTTTCCTCCCACAGCTAAAGATCCATACGTGCAAGCAAAATATTGAAATAAAATTGAACCATATGTTAGTCCTGAAATGACCTAGTTTGTGTCAAGTGGACATTAAACCCCATTTCTATCTATCTTTTTTTATACGCCCACATTGAAATGTGGTCGTATATTGTCGTCGCCCCCGTCCGTCCGTCCGTCCGGCGTCCACAATTGCTTGTGGACGCGCTAGAGGCTAAAGTTAATATCCGATTGACTTTAAATTTATACACAGTGTTTAAGGTCATGAGACGAAGAAGCCTATTGATTTCCAGCGATTTCCGATAATTACTGCCAGAGTTTTGGCCCTTGATCACTTCAAAAAATCTTGTGGACGCTCTAAAGGCCAAAGTTAATATCCGATTGACTTTAAATTTATACACAGTGTTTAAGGTCATGAGACAAAGACGTCTATTCATTTTCAGCAATTTTCGATAATTACTGCCAGAGTTATGGCCCTTGATCACTTCAAAAAATCTTGTGGATGCTCTACAGGCTAAAGTTAATATCCGATTGACTTGAAATTTATACACAGTGTTTAAGGTCATGAGACGAAGAAGCCTATTGATTTTCAGCCATTTCCGATAATTACTGCCAGAGTTATGGCCCTTGATCACTTTAAAAAATCTTGTGGACGCTCTACAGGTCAAAGTTAATATCCGATTGACTTTAAATTTATACACAGTGTTATACACTTGTTGACTGCCCGGACGATTTAGCTGCTGTGGGCGTATGTTTCGTTGCCTGGCAACCTATCTTTTCTGTTCTTAAAAATAGTAGCTTTTAATTCCATGTTGATTCATTATTATTAACATGATATCAGTTATAGTTATGTATCTGAGTGGGATCGAGGAACTGGTACATGTCTATTTAAATCTGTCAATCTTTTTTAGGTTGAATAACATTTTAACCACTGACATTTCAGTGACAGAGGTTAATTATATGTAAACTGGTGCTAATAGGAGTCAATTGATTAGGGTTTAAAACTAGTCATCAAAACATCAGTGGTCAAAACGTAGGTGTTTTCTTTTCGGCGCACTTGTGTTATGCTAGAATTTTAAATATAGAGCAACAAATTGCTGATCAAGAAAGGAAAAGTTGAAATAGTGGTCACTGACACTGGTAACGCCATTCTATGCAAATCAAAAAAATAACATTTTCGTTTGAAGATGAGCATATTCTGCGTCGGATAAGTAGAGATAAGCAATTTGATTGGTCGATACTTTGGGACACGATACATGTATTTAAGTGAGATGATAAAGCTCAGTGTATAGTTTCATTGTATCAATACGTTGACTAAGCTCGATAATGAGCATTTTCTGCTCAGTGTAAGTAGAGAAATAAGCAATTTGATTGGCTGAGACTTTGGAGCTCATTAATATCGATTCTATTTGAGTAAGAGTGGTGGAACTTGGTGTATGCTTTCATTACACCAATACCTTAACTAAGTTCGTTGATGAACATTTTGGTGAATGTCATGACTGAATTCAATGAATAACATTTTCTGCTAAGGTTAAGCAGAGCTATGTAATTTCATTGGTCGATACTTTGGGACACGATAACGTTGATTCTAATTGAGTGATAAAACTTATTGTATAGTTTCACTACATCAAAACCTTGACTAAGTTCCATTACAAATATTTTTTTTGCTTGGACTAGGTATAGATATGCAGTTCGATATCATCCAAAATCTTCGACATTGAAAACACAAATTATTTGTCAATTTAAATCAACATTGATGCCATGCTCTTACCGGGCAAAGATGAACTTCTGATATCAAATATTTAAGACAAAATAAACATTTTACGATTGGTACACGAATCGTGTGCCATAATACGTTTCAGCGCTATTTGTTATAAGGGACTCAAAAAAACGAGGCTAGGCATATTGCACAAGTCATGTCAAACGGTGACATCATATTCTTATCTGGAGGGCATGCGCAATAAATATTATCGGTGTAGACTGGAATAACCAGATGCTAGAAATTGCCATTCGATTGAAACTTCTGGCATATTTCGGCGAACATAACTGTTTAGAAATTACAGTAAAAACAGAAACGGTTCAATGTAAATCAGTTTAAATACATTCATATTACATTATTATATGCGTTGCGACCCATTTCTGTCAATTTCTAGGTCCAAAATACTAGCGATTTAGGCCATTTAATATGTGTCATCTATTTATTTTGGGATTTCGGTAGGGGACATCAGCCTCACTGTTGGCTTGTTAATTTATATATTTTGATACCTGTATTTGTATATAGTACAGTGTACTTAATTAAATCATCTCTCATTTATTTTGTAGGGATGTGAAACCAGATAACATGTTATTAGATGCACAAGGTCACTTAAAATTAGCTGATTTTGGAACCTGTATGAGAATGGATGCTGTAAGTTTTACAAGGATATTTTGGTATACTTTGTGTGCATAATTGTAATACAATGGTATATTTTGTGTGTATTATTGTAATACAATGGTAGACTTTATGTGTATTATTGTAATACAATGATTTTTCTTTTTTTCTTTGTTTTTTTTTAAAAATATTTTTGATACGTGACTGTCACAAAGGTCAAAATTTCAGGTAATATTTCTGTGGTGCCTGACGTTTTTGTCAGACGTAACTAGGGCCATTATTTAAGGCCTGATATCATTGTGTTATATTTTGTTAATGATATTGTCATTGATGATTGAGTCAAGCTTGTACCTGACAACCTTGTGGGTTTCATCCCACTGCTAAAGACCATTATTTGCCTGATAATTATTGAAATAGAATTGTATCCTAGTTTATATCGAGGTGACGTTAAACCCCACATATATTATTATTATAGGATGGATTAGTTCGGTCTGATACAGCAGTAGGTACACCAGATTATATATCACCAGAAGTATTAAAATCACAAGGTGGTGAAGGTATTTATGGTAGAGAATGTGATTGGTGGTCTGTTGGAGTTTTCTTGTATGAAATGCTTGTTGGTAAGTAGGGTTTATGATTCATGTACAACTACAAATAATCCCTATGTTACACTGTGTGCACTGTCTCCCAATCACAAAAAGTGTGTAGTAGTATATTCTGCATTCACTAATGGACTGTCCAGAAATGAATGGATTAATATTATCAATTTGAAACTTTTATAGACAAAAATTTATGGAAAAGAAATGTTCGACCAATTTAGCAAATTGAAACATGAATTTTTCATATATTTTGATTAGAAATTTTAAACTGATTTTCTAAATGATTGATTTGTATATTTCAGGAGATACTCCTTTTTATGCTGATTCTTTAGTGGGAACATATGGTAAAATTATGGATCATAAACATTCACTACAGTTCCCATCAGATATAGAGGTTTCCGAAGATGCTAAAAGTTTAATTTGTGCCTTTCTTACTGAACGGTGAGTTGATGAATATTAACTGTTTGATCATTTTTTATGCTGGGAGGTGGCTCGATAAGTATGGCAATGGCTCACCAATCAGGAAGTCCCAGGTTCGTTACCAGTGTTAGCCGGGGAAGTTCCTCAGGATTTTGCAGCCTGGTTTCCCCTTATCATTCGTGCAGGGTAGAAGAACTGACAAGAAAAAGCATCTAGTTGTTCAGATGGGACAAAAAACTGATGTTCCATGTATACCAATGGCAGCACATAAAAGATCTCCTGACAGTTTAAAATTGAAATAAGAGTAGGCTGCTTTCTTGATTGACTAAAATTGGTACCTGGTAATATCCTTGATTTTGTTTATTTTACACTTGGTTCACCAGGCAGTGAGTCTTGTTTCTCAAAATATTTCAGAAATTAATGACTTCTTTTTCAGAACTGAGAGACTGGGCAGAAATGGTGTTAACGAAATCAAAAAACATTCATTTTTTCAAACTGATCAGTGGACGTGGACAGATATTAGAAGAAGTAAGTAGAGCAATAATAATAATATCAGGAAGGGATTTAAGAATAAGGACACCCAACTGCAACTCTCTTTATGACTTGAAAGCCATAAAAAGACATTTGTGTTAGAACTCACCCAATCCTTTCTAGGGAGGTTTTTATTTCTTTATGTCAATTTTATCAAAAGATTCATATGGCTGAATGACTTCTAACAAACATTAGATTTCATCATTTGTTTATTCATACACTGCACAGGAATTCACTTACATAATTACTAATTCTTGTGTTACATATGAAATGAAATGAAATGGGGTTTACAGTCGTTGTTTTTTGTATTTTAGAGGAGAGCCGAAAAAAGCTCCCCTTAATGAACAAATTAAAAAAATCGCTCCCCTAAAAAGCTCTCCCAGTTTCGATAAGAAGAGTGATTTAGAAATTAAGGAGAATGATCTGATATTAAGGAGAGTGATTAGTTGTTTGTATGGGATAAATAGATCTGAAGATCAATAACTGCGTGTAAGGGGGTCATTCTTGGTTACATATAAATGATAATAAACATCGTCTGCTAAATAGCACTCTTGTAGTCGTACGGTCAAGTCAAACTTCTACTGTCGTCTATAACTACAGTACATACGGTATTCCAATAGAAATAGTTGTCGACATTTCTAAATATATATAGCTTGTATAAATTTTGTTTAAAAACATAACCCCTATTCAAAATATAATCATAAACGCTTGAAAATTCCATTAAAATACAATCTATTTCTTCCGGAATTATTCTCATTGGAAATTTTCACGTGCCATCTCTCGTAATTTCTCACGTATCGCAAGAGTTTTACTTTTCATTTCAGTTAAATTAACCAATGGTGCACAGTCGCCATCTATTTTTAGCAACATATTCATCGGAATTTTATTACCTTGTGCGATCACATTATACTAATCGAATACACCAAAAAAATGTTCACAATGACAGCATGGTGGCGCTCGGAATGTGAGTCTTTCACACTCTTTTGAAAAAAAAGAACCAAATATATACATGTCCATGATTTACAAATATGGAGAGCGATTTTCAGTTTTAAGGCGAGGGAGAAAAACCTCCCCTCAGTCGACATTCTGGTGCGCGACAGGCACTCGAGAGCGATCGCGCGCCTCAAGAAACAATGACTGGGTTTAACATCCTACTGTTCTGCCCCGAACTTGGCTAATGAAGACGGGCATACGCCATACAGTGTGTTATGAGGGAAATTTTGCTCAGACAGCGGCACAAAGGCCTACTCTTATATCGAATTCCTACTGGGATCTTTTAAGTGCACACCAATGTGTACACAGGACCTTGGTTTTTTGTCCCATCTGAATGACTAGACAGCTGTCCTTGTCAGGCCCTCATCCTGCTTCACTGACAAGAGGGAACCACACCGGAAAATCTTACCTAAATGCAACAAATGTATTTGATGACTTACACCAATTTGAAAAACCGAAGTCCAGTGTACACATTTGAGTGCACGTAAAAGAACCCTTGATTGTTGATATAAGAATAGGCTGTAGTGCTGCTGTTCACGCAAAATTTCGCTCATAGCACACTGTAGACGCATGCCTGTCTCTATTAGCCCAGTCAATGCAGAACAATAGCACATTAAACACCATTTAATTTCATTTATTCCACTCCAGTTCAAGTTTTCATACTACAACATCTTTTGGCCTGTCTTTATTATTCATTAGTTCCTCTAAGTCTTGGTAAGTTTCTGCTTAATGTCCATATAGTTTTGTATTCAGTTATGCAGGTGTTATTATGTTGTTATTGTCATTACAGCTGTTCCACCTGTTGTACCAGAATTATCAAGTGATGTTGATACCAGTAATTTTGATGACATTGAAAAAGACGATAATGTCAATGAAACGTTTCAACCACCAAAAGCTTTTGCAGGAAATCATCTACCTTTTATTGGCTTTACTTACAATAAAGAATATCAGTAAGTTTTAGTAAATTAATTCAGTCTGTCATTAATTAATTCAATCAGTCGTAATAATGTAATTTTGTTTCTATCATTCTGCATTTTTTTGGCCTGTTTAGTTTTATGATTCAAGATCGTGTATTTTGTCGGGGGGGGGGGGGGGGGGGGGGGGGTGATCTCTAGTCGCTACACTTATTCAAAGAGCCATGGACTTGTGTATAAAAATGTTAGTGAAAATAGAATTTACCATTGACATTGTTGTATTTATTGGATGTTAGATTTAAGACAATATTTTTTTGTCCCCCGCCTTTCGAAGAAAGCAGGGGACTATTAAAATGGGTTCGTCCGTCTGTCTGTCCGTCACACTTTTTGGGACACAATAACTCTCTTCCTAATTGAGCTAGAATGTTCAAACTTGGTGTATGTGTTTATTAGGTCAATGCCTTGATGGAATTCGAAGATGAGCATTTTCCGCTTAGGGTAAGCAGAGATAAGCAATTTGATTGGTTGATGCTTTGGGACACGATAACTCTCTTCCTAATTGGGCTAGAATGTTCAAACTTGGTGTATGTGTTGATTAGGTCAATGCCTTGATGGAGTTCGAAGATGAGCATTTTCCGCTTAGGGTAAGCATAGATAAGCAATTTGATTGGTTGATGCTTTGGGACACGATAACTTTTAATTGAGCTAGAATGTTCAAACTTGGTGTATGTGTTTATTAGGTCAATGCCTTGATGGAGTTCGAAGATGAGCATTTTCCGCTTAGGGTAAGCAGAGATAAGCAATTTGATTGGTTGATACTTTGGGGCACGATAACTCTCTTCCTAATTGAGCTAGAATGTTCAAACTTGGTGTATGTGTTGATTAGGTCAATGCCTTGATGGAGTTCGAAGATGAGCATTTTCCGCTTAGGGTAAGCAGAGATAAGCAATTTGATTGGTTGATGCTTTGGGACACGATAACTTTAGTTCTAATTAAGTGAGATTGATGAAACTTGGTGTATAGTTTCATTACAGTAATACCTTGACTAAGTTTGATAATGAGCATTTTCTGCTCAGGGTAAGCAGAGCGATACGCAATTTGATTGGTCGAGACTTTGGAAAACAATAACTCTCCTACTTTGATTGTCCCACGCCTTTCGAAGAAAGCAGGGAACTATTAAAATGGGTTCGTCCGTCTGTCTGTTTGTCTGTCTGTCCGTTCCGCTTATGGTAAGCAGAGATAAACAATTTGATTGGTTGATCTTCGAATTGAGTAAATGTTCATGCTTATTGTCCCCCGCCTTTCGAAGAAAGCAGGGAACTATTAAAATGGGTTCGTCCGTCTGTCTGTTTGTCTGTCCGTTCCGCTTAGGGTAAGCAGAGATAAACAATTTGATTGGTTGATGCTTTGGGACACTATAACTTTAGTTCTAATTAAGTAGATAAACAATTTGATTGGTTGATGCTTTGGGACACTATAACTTTAGTTCTAATTAAGTGAGAGTGATGAAACTTGGTGTATAGTTTCATTACAGTAATACCTTGACTAAGATCGATAATGAGCATTTTCTGCTCAGATTAAGCAGAGCGATAAGCAATTTGATTTGCTGAGACTTTGGAACACAATAACTCTCCTTCGAATTGAGTTAAAATGTTCAAAATTGGTGTGTATGCTTATTGTCCCCCGCCTTTCGAAGAAAACAGGGGACTATTAAAATGGGTTCGTCCGTCGTCTGTTTGTCTGTCTGTCCGTCACACTCCTTCGAATTGAGTTAAAATGTTCAAAATTATTATAACCAGGTATTGATAAAAGCATCAATTGAGCAATTCCAATACAATCCAATACAATGAATATAGGCAAGGTAAATAATGGAAAAAACAAATTGAAAAAGAAACTATTATAAATTAATTAAATATGTAGTATGCAATAATGAATTGACATTTAATGACAGAAAGAAAACAGTGAACTTTGCACAACTTGCAGCAAGATGGAAAATAGACCCGTTGATACAACCAAACTCTAGATCTGTAGGCATAGAGCATGTTTTCCCCTTAATATGCTATAATTATTCCATCAAAAACATTGTATGCTTAGACTATAAGTAAAGATATACTGTTTGATTGTTCAATACTTTGTAAAAGATAATTTGTGATAAATTTATATATGTCCTCTAATTATTTTCCTATTTCGGCGGGGGACATCAGCCTCACTGTTGGCTTGTTCATTTTAATTTCATCATATCATGGTTGAATTTGATCATATATTGTGCTGATATAACATGATATTTTACACATTGCATCAGTAAATTTGAATGTCCCCTAAACTTGCTATTTGAATGACAATTTCGTGCGGCAAATCTGATATCAAAAAATGCATTAAAAGGTATATTGTGGAACTTTCCATACATTTTCAGCAGATGTATTTGTATTTATAGTGGATGTTCCTGAATAGATGATTGTGACACAACTCTGAATGTCTGTTTGGATTTGCTTAGAACTATCTTTTCTTTTCACAATCGTTTGATTCTAAAGTGTGAAAATTTTGATATATTTGTGATAACTTTACAGTAGTAAAAAGACTGTATGTTTGGATATTCTGGTTGTTGGGGTTTTCTTTTCTGCTCTAAAATTGCCTTGAAATATTTATATGAAACTCACATCATCTGTACATTTCAGGTTATTATCAGGTCCAAGAGCCAATATATCAGGGGTGAGTAATAATTATTGCTTTGAAAATATTTAAGTTTTAACATATCTATATGTACTATTATTGATGAAAACCATTTTAACAAATTGTATATTCTGTTAAGGCCTGTGCACAACAAGCATCATTTGTAGGCATTTTCCCATCAATCAATGATAAGTAATCGTCAGCTTTTAAATTGGCGTACGCATGTATCATTACACACATCACCATTGGATAGACCCACTCATTACAATTGGTTTCAAACATATACATGATTACGATTGGTATCAAACATATACATCATTACGATTGGTATCAAACATATACATCATTATCACTAGTAACCAATATTGTTCATAAATTTATCATCATTATGTTCACATGTAAAGAGCTTATAGTTAGTAAACACTCAATCATTAGTTCATAAGTAAGCATATAATTAACATTTGAAAATTACGGTCATCTACAGAAGCACCAATCTTCCATATAAATATTTTTATTTATTTAATTTTATTATAGATGGACGGTATTGATGTAAGTTGAATGAATCAAACTGATATTATTCATTTATGATTAGACAATATATATACCATATCTAGAAACTCTTTCTGATTGATGAAAAACTATATTATGCATGGCTTTCATATTTACTACAGACACACATATTTTTTATTCTTTAAGTGCTATTTGGTAGACACACATTACAAGACACAATTTTATGAATAACATGTAGTATTTATTCAAAACCATATTTTGACAAAGATTCTGTCATATTTTTACAGATAATTGCCCAAATGTCCTTTCATATAAATAAGATTGATCCATACAGAATTGTATCTTGTTTACATTTATATAGAAAATATGGCCTTGATGTCATTTCCCTTTACATCAGTTGACGTATTAGGTGCTCGAATGTTCTGTCATGTAACATCACAGTATCTTTTTTCGATATCCACTATAGCATCTTTCATATATAACCTCTATATTACTATGATTTCACACTAAACATCTTTTCTTTATTATATACTATTCAAAAAAAGTAGGGGATATTTGATTTTGGGGGCATAATACTAAAATATGCAAATGACTACGAAAAAAGTCACTATAGAACCTAACAGAAGAAACATTTCCAGTTACATGTGACGCCCAAACGCACCAATAGCTACCGCATGGAATGCAGGTGATGCTTGGGATCATCATGGGGGTCCAACCCAAGATTTGCACGACTCTGACTTTGAATGTTACAGTCATTGTGGCATTGAATTCCAGGGTGGAAACATCAGTTTAATTGTTTTAGTGACCAGAAAACAAATTTTGATATGCGTCGGCTTACCCAAAATGAAAGGTTACGTGCCCTTGGCATGCTACAGATCGGCACAACACAGGCGGTTGTGGCGCGGACGATGAATGTTTCTCAGTCTGTCATAAGCAGGCTATGGTCCAGATACCGTGATACACAATCTGTACAGGACAGACCACGCTCAGGTCGACCAAGGGCGACAACTCAAGCCCAATATCGATTTATCCGTACCTTGGCCTTGAGAAATCGTGTCATCACAGCAAATCAGATCAGCGCTCGTCTTCAAACAGACACTGGTGTGAGAGTGAGTGGCCAGACGATTCGGAATAGACTGCATAGGGGTCACCTTCGCGCCCGACGTCCTCGCGTGATCCCTTGTTTGAGAGATCATCACATTCAGGCAAGACGTCGTTGGTGTAGGGATCGTCAACACTGGGATAATCGACGCTGGAGCAATGTGATGTTTTCAGATGAGTCAAGGTTCACTGTTGATTTTTTGGACAGACGTAGGAGGGTGTGGCGTCGTCGAAACAAGCGCTTCCAAGACGTTAACGTCATCAGACATGATCGATTTGGGGGTGGTTCTGTTATGGTGTGGGGAGGCATCACTGTTGCTGGATGAACGGCTTTACATGTTGTTGCAGGGCATGTTACAGGCCAGTACTACCGGGACAACATCTTGGCAGTCCATGTTGTGCCGTTCGCACGACGTCATGGCTGCCGTTTCATCTTCCAGGATGACAACGCAAGATGTCACAGGGCCAGGATCGTTACAGGTTACCTCCAACAACAGAACATCACCACATTACCTTGGCCAGCACTGAGTCCCGACCTCTCCCCCATCGAGCATGTCTGGGACATGCTTGGACAGAGGTTACGTCAACGTCAACAACGTCCTGCCAATGTCCAAGAACTTGCTGCTGCGTTGCAACAGGAATGGGACAATCTGGACCAAAATGACCTTAGACGTCTCATTAGGAGTATGCCACGTCGGATCAATGCTTGTTTTGCAAACAGAGGATGATTTACCCGTTGGTTGTGATGCTGTGGTAACTTTGCTGTTTGACCCCGGGTATCATTTTACCCTTATAATGGTCAGTCTGTGCCTTACTTAGTCTAACGATCATTTGGAATAAATCGATGATTGTGAACTTCATTTCATTTTGTCATTTGTTTCTTCGTCAGTTTCATTAGGTGACTTTAATAACACTTAAAAATCAAATATCCCCTACTTTTTTTGAATAGTATATATATATACAGGGTTACTAGCAGATGACTATATTATTAGTATTAATATTATTATTTTAAGGTGGTCTTCAAATTGACTAATATCTTTTTTGTGAATAAGGACATACCGGGCCGTTATTATTGTTTGACTTTGATCTCCAAACTGATTAACATTTCTCTTATTATATTATAAACCCTATTCATATTCATCCATATGTTCTATAATATGGTATCTATTTTATTCTTACTTTCTTTATTATAATTCTCGTAAACCAAACATTAACTGACACCTTGGTTAGATAATCAGAAATAAGCGATTTGATTCATTGATGCTTTAGTACACGATTACTCAGATACAAATTCAATGAGAATCACGAAACTTAGTGTAAAGTTTTGTTGCATCGATACTTTGACTAAGTTCGGTAATGATCATTTATTACTCGGATTAAGCAGCAGAGTTATAAGCAATTTCATTGCTCGAACCTTGATTAATTGATAAATGTGGAAATGTTTAATGAGTGACATCTATTTATTTTGTCTATGTTTAAATTATAGGGTGTGGAAAGTAGAGATGTCCGAGGTGGAAGATCACAAGATGATTGGGAATCCAAATATATGTAAGTTTGATTGGTTTTTTTTTTTCCCTAGTGTGTTTTTTTTTTCAGTCTACTTACCAGGTTTTCTATACTTTGCCCTACATATATACTTTGTGTGGTTATAATAATAAGACTAACTTTTGGGATCTGGTGGCTTAAGAAGATATTATTTTATGTGCACTTAAAATATGTAGGATATCAATTGAGAATTGTTGATTTATCTTCACAAATAGTAAGTGCAGGATACCCCACACGAAACTGGAATAACAAGCCAGATAAACAATTTGGAGTACATAAGAAATCGTCATAGAATTGTATCAGTCCTAATAACAGATTTGGTGTGAGTAAAATAGTCACCAATCAAACAAGACAAACTCTTCAGCTCTGTTGATTGGTGACGATATGTTTGTATTTATGGAATGAATTGCCACTGGTTGTTACATTTTGAATAATGTGGTAATTTTATTTTGTAGGAAAGCCAAACAAGATCTGGACAGATTAACAAAAGAAGAAACAGAACTCAAACAAATGTGTACACAATTAGAGAAAAATGTAGCATTGATAAAACATAATTTAAAAGAGGTATATTATATATCCATAATCTTTTATTTTTACTTTTGATAACTGATTTAAAAAAATTTCTGATGTACGTAGTACTCATTTTTTAAACAAAATAACTATAAAGATCCTTTTCTGTTATATATCAGTAAAGATACTTCTTTGAAATTGATATATTAACCCTATACTTAGACCGTCCCGTCACTGCACAGTTGTCTCACCTGCACGAACTAGTAAATGGTCAGAAAATTATTCACATATCTTGGACAGTTTAATGCTGTCTAAGGAACCACAGTTTCAGACTGTTTCGGGCTGTCCAGGGATGAACTGGTATTAATATATCACTTTTCTCTAGTTTTCTTTAGGAACTGGGGTAGTCGATATTTTCATTCTTTAATGTTCTTCCGCTAAAATCAGTGCATTAGTGTGGATATTGCTTAGGACCGTACTCACTGCCAGAATGCAATATTTGATGAAGTTGACACATCCTTTAAGGTTTAAGGTGTTGCTGTAGCCCTCCTCTCTCATCTTCTCAACCCTTCAATACCAATCGTTAAGACATTACCATTTACTGTTTATTTTCAGGCTCAAAGAAAGCTGGACGCAGAAGTAAATAGTAAGAAGAAAATAGAACAGTCATTAAAAGATACAGAAAGATTATTAGAATCTGAGAAAAACGTCCGGTTACAAGTGACCTCTAGTAGCCAACAGAATGACCAAAAAGTTTTTACCTTAGAAAAAAATGTAAGGATGTGTTATTTTACTTCACCTACGATATCTTCTTAGTCCATGTTTTCAGATTCAGCTGGACACGTTTCCAGAGCTATTACTTACAAAGTTTACCAGTTTAACTCATCTGATCCGATAGCTCCTTCCCGTGTATACATTAGAATGCACGTCAAAGATCCCTTGGCAGTTGGAATTCGATATAAGAGTAGGCGATAGTGCCGCTGCCCGGGCAAAATTTCCCTCATAGCACACTGTATGGCGTATGCCCGTCTTCATTAGCCAAGCATAGGAGCAGAACAGTAGGACGTTAAACCCCATTTCATTTCATTTCCGATAGCTCCTTTTGACAACAGAACTAGATTTTTTTTTCGTTATTTCTTGCATTAAAGATTTAAAGCCTGTTTTTAACCAGAAAATAAAATAAATTAGAGCGTATTTAAAATATCTATGCACACAAAAATATGTTATTATCATTTTGTAAAGTACAAGATCGACATGTGAATTTAAAATGAATCAAATGCTTTTGTTTTCTAGGTTAGTGATTTGAATCAAAAGTTAATGATGGAAATGGAAAATTCAAATAAATATAAAAAATCTTATTCAGAACTACAGCAGGTAATTCATTAATTCTTTATAGATATGTCAAAGATAAATTACTAATGCTGTACGTTTAGTAATTGTTTACTTCCACAAGTTTGTTTCTGAAACCCTAGTTGTGATTTTCAACGAAGCTAAAAGCTGTGTCATGGTCATGCTGATAAGTATAAAATGTCTTCTTTTATCACATATCTCATTCTCCAACACAGATTTTTCTTTCTTTACATAACTAACATGTTATTATACTAGTGTCTGGTGTCATTATTTATTTCAAAACATCAGGTACTGCTTTGCCTTGAGAATATCCATTCCTCTGGTGAAGTTGACACGACAATTTTTATTCATGTATTTATTAATTCGATTACCCTCTAGAAACAGTGGTACATTTTAATATGGAGAAGCATGTCAAATTTCTATTAGTTACGCCTAGAGTTCCGGCCCTTTGTAGATTTTTGTTAAATTTCTAACTGAAAATTAATCATCTGAACTACCGGTACTTTAGATTTATGTTCTTTGTTTCGAGGGTTATGAAATATCAACATTTTCTAACATTTTCTAATATTTTCTTTTAGAGTTATTGACAATCTTGTCAATGATATTTTACAGTATAATGATTATTTACCAAAAGATTGACAATTTGGGAAATATATTTTATCTTACAGAGATTAACATTATCAGACTCCCATTTAGCAGAATTAAATGCAAAATATGTTGATGCAGTAAATACTAAACAGAAGTTAGAGAGAGATATAGTTACATTACAGAATACTCTTGATTTAGAACGAAATAATGTTAAAGAAGAACACAAACTTTATGTTGAACTTCAAGGTTAGTATGAACGTACAGTGTATATAGCCTTTACCTATATTTATTTTTACTTTGTTTTGTTTTTAAGTTCTCTAAGTTTATCATACCAGACTAAAGTCTGTACCTTTTGAGCCGTTGTGGGATGTACTGGTCAGAAGTATGCTATTGGTTGATTTTGTATTACTGAAGAAGGCAAGCCACTGTTGTTAAGGAAAATAATCTCTGTTTGATACCTTGAGATGATTTATCTGAAGTTGTATGTTTATAATTTTCTAAATATATTTTGTGTCTTTTTTATAGAGAGAATGAAATTTTTACAAGAAGAAAAACAGAGATTGAATGAAAAAGAAAAGAATTATGTTCTTGAAATTCAAAAATTTCAACAAAACATCATGAAATTAGAAAAGGTATGTTTACGTCAAATCATTTCTGCAATTGAAAAGTTAATCAAAGATATAATTAGATATGTGCTAAATTCTGGAAATATTGTTCTTTTAATAGACCTCATGGGTTTTCTCCGGGTCCTCCGGTTTCCTCCCACTGCTAAAGACCCCTACGCACAAGCGAATTATTGAAGTAAAATTAAACTATATGTTAGTTCCAAAATGACCTAGTTTGTGTCGAGTGGATGTTAAACCCCATTTCTCTCTCTCTCTCTCTCCCTTTCAATAGATTTTATGCAATAAAGGTGGCTTATTTATATCATCTGCAGAGAATATTGAATATTGCTAAATATTTAATTCACCATCTTTGTAAATACCGAAAGGACAGATATTCAAATTTAAACATATTGTTAGAATTTAAGATCAGCCGCTTTAAATTATATAAATTTGTGTTTTTAAGTCCTAAGTGACAGAGTGAACTTCTTTTTCTAAGTGTCGCAAAATTTCCTTAAATTGTGTATTATTTGTATTTTAGAGTCATGCTAGTATCCAACTCGAAAGAGATAATTTTAAACAAAGATTAGATAATGAAGTTCAAATGCACACAGAAACCAGGGAACGATATCAGGCAGATAAACGACGAATGTTAACATCCACGGAAGAAGCAAATTTAGAATCTGTGAAAGGTAATATAATATTTTATAATAAAAGTACTGTAGATAATATAAAGAATCATGGTATACCTACTCTAGTAAATAGAAAAACAAAACAGCACAAAATTTAAATGAAATGGGGTTTAAAGTTTAATGGAGATGGGCAATCAGTTCAATTAAAATACAGATCTATATCTCGTTTTGTTTTTATACGCCATCATTTTGATGAAACTTGAAATATATCTTTATAACCCAAAGATCTTGGTCCCTGTCAATATTCGAGCATATCGGATCGTAACTTCCGGAATTATGGTCCTTGATTGTACGAAAAATCGCCATTTGTTTAGCTTGTTCTCTATCCATCTCTTGCAAAATGGGGGCATATCCTGCCTGGCAGCTGCTGGTTTTTTATACTTTTGATGGCCTCCACTACATAAAGATCTGACCGGTTATAGTGGGAGGTCGTGTCCGGGGTTACGCGAGCAGCTTTTTACACTATGACGTCAGGTATTTGATTAACCAATCAGCATTGATGGTTCAAGTGGGTATTTGAAAATACAACTTTTGCTGCAAATGTCTACCCACAGTTCTGTTAAGACAAGTAAAACATAATTTTCAACGATAAAAAAACGAAACGAAATAGGAACTGTGTTTTAATCAGATTGATAAGTAATACATCCTGCGGTATTTTAATTATGAGAGATAGTTAATGAATTTAAAAAAAAAAATAGAATTGTGAAATCTGCAGGCTTTTTGATGCCTGGTGCTTGTCATTTTATCTTGCATTGATTTGTCATCTCAATGTTTTTATTACACAATCAGTACAAAATTAAAATTGTCAGGGACAACAATAATTGTTATTTCATTGAACATCACTGTAACCCGGGTATCTTTAATCTTGTGTATTTAGCACTAATTTCTTTTACCTTTATTCAATATCAAATCTTTGTTTAAAAACTCGAAAAAATAGTTTAAAATCACAAAAAATCATCTAATTTGTACATATGTATTGTACATATGACACATATTAATATGGTATATATGTTTACAATCTTATAGAAATAACCAATAAATATGAAGCGGAAAGGCAGGCAAGATTAAAAACGGAAGCCAAATTATTGGATTCGGAAAAAGCAATGAGTGCAATAAAATTAGATTTAGGTCAGTCTCAAAACCAAGTTAAGTCAATGCAGAACCAACTACAGACAGAATCAGAAAAGGTTTGTATACAGTTAATTTTATTATTTCTCTATAAATGTAAGAGAGTCACTAATGAACCTCAGATGATACATGGTTGTTTTAGAGAAATGCATATAAATGTGTGTCATTTCTGAACAGTGGCTCAGTGGTGCATGACGGAGGGCCTGGCCAGGAACAGCATCTGGTCTTTCAAATGGGATGAAAAACCCAAGATCTTACGTTGGCATGCACGTAAAAGAATCCTTGACAGTTGGAATTCAATTGCTGTCTGGGCAAAATGTCCCTATAATACACAGCATGCCGTAGACCCGTCTGGAATGAGCTCTGTTGGAACAGAAAAAAGTATGATGTAAACCTCATTACATTCATTCAGTTCTGACAGTAGCAGGTATTTTTATATATTAATGAAGTTATACTGCAAGGCTCAGTAAGTAAGATGTTGGCTTGCTAACCTGGAGGTCCTGTGTTCGATCCCTGTGTTGGCCAAGAAAGTTCATCTAGATTTCTCGGTGTGGTTTCCCCTTGTAAAAGAGCCCTTGGCAGTTGTATTCAAAATAAGAGTATTTGAATAGTATACTTTGTTGTATTTCAGTGTAAAAATTTAAGTCTTCAAGTTGAACAAGAAGTACAGAGAAGAAATTTAATGCAGGGTGATTTAAAGAATCAGTATGTCGATATTAATAAAGCTAAATCCAAAGAAAAGGCATTAGAAAAAGAAATAGCTGATTTAAAAGAAGAAAAAAGATTAGTTGAAGAAGAAGTTAGAAAAGTGAAAGAGTAAGTACTTTCTATTTTCACCTGTTAAGTCAGAATTTCCTGGATTGAGATCCTTGCATTGGGCTTAGAACCTTTGACATTTTTCAAGACTGGTTCACACGTTTGTTATGATAATGAGATTTCTGGGATCTTTTTGTGAGTGTAATTTGAACAATAACTAGACTTGATGACAGTTTTAACAGGATAAATATGTGTTTCACTATGTCCTGATCTGACATATTTCTTTCTGAATCATTTACAGTATTTCATTACCCAAAATTAATTTGTCAACATTAGACAATAGTCCTAAACAGAATCAATCATACCGTAGAATTTGGTATAAGTGAGGTCACACTCTTAAATGTCTCCCGAGAAGAGTGGTTATTTTCATGCTCACCTGTAGAAAATTAATCACTTATTTTTACAACTTTTGTAAATAGTGTCTGTCAGCGGTTACTTTTTTCCAAACTTTAATGACAAATAGATTATGAAAACATTTATGATACAAGTTTTTTTATATGTAATATTGTTTGTCATTTCAGGGAAAATTCCCTAATTGATTTACAACTACGAGATGCTCAAGAACAATTAGAAGCTGAATCTTATTTTGCTGTAAGTATATCTTTCTGTTGTTAAAGTTATGGCCATGTTGAGTAAACGTTTTAATTGTCCTCTACCTTTTGGAGAATGCAAGGGTGTGTTAAAATGGGTTTGTCTTTCAAACATTTTTGAACTCTGCTTCTGACTTGGTATAGGTGTTCATTAGATGAATTTCTTGACCTAGTGTCATATTGTGATATATTTTATATCTTTGTGGTCTGAAACCTTATGGTTAAGTTGAAACAAGTTGTCTCCCTTATGTTGTAGTTCTTCTGCCTTTTTTGAGTAATAAAGAAAGAGATTAGAATTAACATGGAGAATGGTTGATTTTTATTTTCACCCACATGTAACTGTGAAACACCCCTGGATTCAAGGATCCAAATATAACACTACTTCAATGATGAGAGTTTCTGCTCAAGCTAAGGAGAGATAAGCAGTTTGATTTGTAAATGCTTTGGTACCAGTTAACTATGATTCAAGTGTATAGTTTCATTACATCAATATCCTAAGTTTGATTAGAGAATTATCTACTCATGTTAAACAGAATGATAATCATTTTGATTGCTCAAGGCTTTATTATCAGTAATTAGTGAGTTTCATCTGTTTATCAGCCTCATTATTGACTTATTTAGGAAGTTGTAGCTTTTCAGGTCACTGAAAGCTTGATGAAATGTTGTGCTATTTATATAACAACCGGTGATTAAATTACATATAAATGTTTTTTTGTGCTGAATCGCTAAATACCTCTCAAGGATAACATATTTTTGTACAGAAACAAGCATTACAGAGACTTAAACTAATGTTTTCCATACCATATACTGAAGTATTTCTAAACTTCATCCAAATTTAAAGATAATTTTGTATATTTGTAGTCTTTGTATAAAACACAAGTAAAAGAATTGAAAGATGAAGTAGATTTATCTAATAAGAAAATGCAGGATCTCAGTGCTGATATTCAACATATAACCGAAGAAAAGTAAGTTTTGAAAGGAATCTCTGTTTCTACTTTCTCACTCCGTGACTAACATAAAGAGGAGTATTTTTTCCACACTCATTCATTCATAATATTTCATTGCATGTGTGAAAGTTTTATCTGTCTTTATATTTCTTAGCAATCAAAAGATTTTGTAAAGCAAGTTATTTTATAATTGTATCATTGACAAATGGTTATAAGTCACTGTGGAATTGTGAATGTTACTTAACTATGAAGTCATTGCTTTAAGCATGATCTAACTCTCCTTATTATGGGATAGCTGTTTAGGAGATGTTTTTTTTACTTTTGCAAATTAAGAAGAGCGTCTTTCGGCTCAATGACTGGTGTAGAGGTTTTTTCTCCTTCCAATAAAGAGTAAACTAATGACAGGATAATCTAATTGTCTCCCTTTCTTGTCATGTTGATAATTATTCAAATAAACAAGACATAAAGACATATTTCTAGTGTTTTACAAGATAATAGTCAGGGATGTAATAACATTGGATTGAATTTAAAGATATTATTGTTGTATTTTTCAGGGACTCAATTTGTGCTCAGTTACAATTAGCCTTAGCTAAAGCTGATTCTGAACAACTTGCACGTCAGATAGCTGAAGATCAGTTATTAGATGTGGAGAAAGAAAAAACCATGTTAGAATTAGAGTATAAAGATTTAATGCAGAGACATAAAAATGATATATCCAAGAAAGAAAACCAAATAACATCTGTAAGTTTTTTTATTTATAGATCTTTCCATATGTAGAGACTCTCCAGTCGATAAATAAAACATGGCAAATACTCTGTTGTTATCGACAATTGTTGATATATTTGATATCAAAAGAAGAGTAGCATAAGATTGTTTTTATTACGGGAGCCACATTAGTCAAGAAGTAAGGCATTGACTTCTCAGTGAGATTGCCTGGGGATTTGAAATTCAGCAGGGCTGAGAAAAACCTTCAGGATTCTCAAGTCCGAGCCGTCAAGGAAAGTGTTCCTTATCGATCAGATGAGTAAAGAAAAGCGAGGTCCACTCATGTATACATTGGCGTTAACGAAAAGAACCCATGGTAGTTGTAATGTGAAAGAGAGTAGATATGAAATGCATTATTGACTGATACAATTTCATGTTGGCTTCATGAATTGATGGATTGTTTTTATTAAACATTAATTATTGGTATTGCAGATGGAAGACTCCAAACGAAATACAAATATGACGATAGATCAACTACAGTCAGAAAATAATATTCTTAATACAACAATTAAAGAATTATCTGAAGGTAAATATGCTATTAATAAGAACTTGTCTCCTTGTAAACATGTGATTTTGGTTGCCAACTAATTTAAGATATTGACTTTTCAATCTCTTTATTTTAGAAATGTGATATTTGGGATACAATGAGTTTATTAGAATGTGTAATGTTATCCCATATCAATTGGTTAATAAACATTTAGTATTTATAAAAGGCTGATTGTTTCCTGCTGCCGTGTAAAAATTCAAATTGTTTCCTGCTACAGTTTAAAAATTAAAAATTTGATTGCATCTTTCAGTTAATGTTATTTCAACTTCTAAAGAAATAATACAGGTTTGTTTTTTTAAATTCTGAGCTTTGACATTTAGTATTTTATTTTTCAGCACATAATACATCATTAGCAACAGAGGTTGATAAACTAAAGAAAGAATTAGAAACAGAAAAAATTAAGAAAACACAGGTAAGAATTTTATTAACAAGAGGTATATTCAGTTGTCCTTCCTTTATATTAACATGACACTTTTTACATGCGAAATGTATAGAATACACCATAAAACTATGATATTGGTGTCCATTGCAAGGCTTTCACTTATATATTTTGCCAGTTAGTCAATTTTTGGCGTATTTGTTTAGCTCAGATTTGCAAGATATTTTCTCCATAGATTATCCAAGTTTTACCGCTTATGAGTGTTTTTACACATAAAAACTATAAATGTAACTGTAATAGTTATTGCATTTAAAGATTAAATTCTAGTTTTATGCATTTAAAATGACTGACAGATAAGTTCTCCAGCCAGTCAATTTCACTGTCCTTCGGTCAAGACTGTCAATGTGACGGAAAGAAAGTCTTGGTCTACTGACTACATCCATGTTAAAGTAGGATCCATATATACTCACTGAATTCAATACTGTTGTTAGCCATGTTGACCCACACGTTTTAATAAAAACATCCACTGTAAATACATCCAAACTTATCCTCACTTGATTGTGATTCACGCTATGGCTTAAGTAGGCAAGTCTAAAAGCACTTAAAGCCATTATGTATGATGATAAATATATAGGCGCATGCAGTAAATGGACTTCAGAATTAGTGTTATAGTGAAGTTCTAGTGGAATAGGAATGGGGAGTAAATGCAGTTGTATGAATGAGCTGGCATGTGCAGGGTATTGAAAAATGGTATTATTTATAAATATTCCAAATATTTATATGTATGAACATTTATTGCAGGCTGTAAATAAATTAGCTGAGATAATGAATAAGAAAGAATTCCGAACTGCTGGTAATAAAAAAAAGGGAGGAGGTAACGATGTTGAGTTAAAGAAAAAAGATAAAGAAAACAGAAGATTAGAACAAGAATTAAGAATGGTAAGCTACCTTCTTTTATTATTAAAAACAGCAAATGGAAATGTAAAATAAAAACAGAATTCACAATGTTTTAAAATGGAATTCCCCATTTTGTGAAATGGAAAAATAATCCCCCTTGTATGTGTACATGGCTTGTATAAGCTGAAACTGTTCATGTTAATTTATCTGATGATATATTTATATTTTTTTTAGGAAAAAGAAAAATACATCAAAATGGCTGAAAAGTCACAAAGAGAAGTTTTAGAAACGCAACAGATTGTGTATGAGGAGAGTCAAAGCCGTCAAAAATTACAGATGGAAATAGATGCAAAAGATGCTGAACTTGAACAATTACGGCAAAAATTATCGTTTAATAATTCTGATACAGCGTCTGTTAATAGTGGTAACCTAGATGATACTATTGTTGAATCAGGTAACAGTTTTAAGTTCATTTTGAATTAGTTGACAGTACTACCATCTTTGAATCCACTTGTCAGCAGCTTCAGAGATAAAGAGCTTGAAAGTAAATATTGCCTGTGAGTTACCTGACTATATCAGTGCAATACTTTTGTCTTAGAAAAAATCACACTCTACTTTTCCCTACTCTTGGGCCACTTGACACCCGGCTGAAGGGGGGGGGGGGAGGTTGGATGGCTGAATGGTTAGCGTGCGCGCACAGCATCATAAAGTCTGTCATTGAGTCGACTGGTGTGGTTTCGAATCCCCGGTTGTGGGTGACAAGCAGTAGGGTTGCCTGTCCAACCTTGTGGGTTTTCTCCGGGTCGTCCGGTTTCCTCCCACTGCTAAAGACCCCTACGTGCAAGCGAATTATGTAAATAAAATTAAAACCATATGTTAGTCCCGAAATGACCTAGTTTGTGTCGAGTGGATGTTAAACCCCATTTCTCTCTCTCTCTCCGGCTGAAAGGAAGAAGCTGGAGCACCCTACAAACACCCCCTATTGTATTATTTATAGTTCTAATGATTTATAAATCTATTGTATTTACAGATCATATGGAAGGCTGGCTAGGTACACCAAACAGACAAAATATTAAAAAATATGGTTGGAAGAAGCAGTATGTTGTTGTCAGTAGTAAAAAAGTTCTCTTTTATAATACGGAAAATGATAAAATGGCTTCCAATCCGGTTCTAGTATTAGATATAGAGTAAGTTAGATATCAATCTCATTCCTAAAACAGTTCGAAACTAAATTTTCATTTCTGGGAAAATACCTCAGAGCTTTCCACAATTGTGAAGACTAGGACAGAAATGTTGCTATGACTACGGAACAGAATTAACTTGTTTGATTCACTAAATTTATCTGGGATGGCCCAATGATCTGGATCATGTTTCTGTTATATATATATATATATATGTCTCTCCTAACTGAAAAAATTGTAAATATTAAAATTGTCTTGACATGACCCGTCTTCCACCCCCACCACCACCCCCTATAAAAACAAAAAAAACAAAAACCAGAACAAATCAACAAAACAAACCCACAACTAGTAATTGAATGGTAAACATACCATGGGAGTAAACTGCTGTCTGGTGGAAATTTATTAGGTCAGTGACTTGGGATGGAGTGTGCCACTATTAGTTTTGACATTCCATTTTATATTTCAGTAAATTATTCCATGTTCGACCTGTTACCCAAGGTGATGTTTATCGTGCAGAGGCTAAAGATATTCCACGTATATTCCAGGTAAATAAACAGAAACCGTGTAATATGATAGATAATAAAGATTTGATTTCGCTACAATCAACATAAAATTGGATGTAAACCAAAATTCTCCTTTGTCAGAACGATTAAAAATGTGTTCAAAATCTATCTAAATGAATATCATTGGATTCTTATTAAATATCAAATATTTAATTGCTCATTTTGATTTTCATTATATTCGTTGTGACCAGTCTGTGATTATTTTGAACAAAATTTTCCTACTGTTTTGGTTTAACTTTAAGACTGTTTAATCTATCATCCTTTTAAACAAGACAGTGCCATCATTAAGTTTTGTTGTATTCTTTTGATGTCCTTAATCAAGTTGAATCCAAGCTCGGAGATTCTGTAGAACCTTGTTAAGGAGTCACATTTAATTAAAAGAATAGCTAATGTAGGAATAGGCACAGTATAAGCTGTTAAACCAGTCATAAAGGGGTTAGTTTGAACGAAACATCATACATTGTGTTGTTAGTTTAATATAACAAACTAAACCAGCTGTTCTTGTTTATAACAGATATTGTATGCCACTGAAGGAGAAAACAGAAAACCAGATGAAAATACGATTGAACTTCAAAGTGCAGTAAGTTATATCTATTGATTTTAAAACTCAGTATTCTAATATTAAGATTTCATAAAACAGATTTTATTTAGTAATAAGATAACAATATTTTCATATAACCAAAAAGAAATAATTTCATCTAAATCTTGTCAGAATCAAGCTTTAACTGAGACATGGTTTGGAGTTTCCAAACATCAATCCTGAAAATAAGTGCATCGATTTGTTCTTAAAAAAATGATCTATGTCCAAGTAGGGTGTAAATTCATTTATACAAATATTTACTACTTTAGTTTATTTTTATTCAGTTTTGCTACATACTTTAAGGTATTGAACCAATTTTGAATTAAAAAAATAAAATCTGATTTTATCCAAAATGTTCTTATTTTTTTTTCCTGAATATGTGAACTATTCTCAAACTAAAAACCCAGAAGACAAACACATAATGTAGCAGATGTCTTTCATAAACAAGCAAAACAGACAATTAAAATCCCATAATTGAAAATAATATTAGCAGTATTTCATGATCTGATATTCTGTGTAATAGGAGTTTTGCCTACACTAGAAGAATTGATTTTTATTTTTATTATTTCAGGATAAAGCTGGAGTTCTATCATTTAAAGGTCATGACTTCTTACAATTACATTTCCGTACACCTACAAGTTGTGATTCTTGTCAGAAAGCATTATGGCATTTATTACATCCACCATTAGCCTTAGAATGTAAACGTAAGTAGTATTACTAATTTCTAGCAATATCTATAAAAATAAAATCAAAGTGTGTATGTATGTATGTTCGCCTATCACGCTTTGTCACTGCGCTCCAATCCCACATGTGGCATCAAATTAACCAGTATGACCCGTGAATGTTTTAGGCCATCAAATTTGGGCCCCAAGCAAATAAATCCTTCTTCGTCGACGTGCTCCACTCCACATATGTGGTATCAAATTAACCAGTACGACCCTGTGAATGTTATAGGCCATTGAATTTGTTGCCTGTCCGTATTTGGACCCTGGCCGAAGCCTGCTATTCTGCTAGTACATAATATACAAAGATATACATGTATGACTGTAAAAAAGAAATGGAGTTTAGCTTCCTATTTTTCTGCACCTACCAGACCAGTGAAGATACTGTCATGTAGTAATGCCACCTTTCATGGAATTTTTCTCCCCTTTGTTCTTTATTGGAGTACTCAGGTTGGAATGTGGTTTTTAGCTTCAGTACACTTTAATCCATGCAATCCATGGTGAATTAGAGAACTACCCCCACAGCAATACCACAATGCAGTGTGCTATAACTATAAGGGAAACAGCAACTTTTCACCCTACTATATTTATCAAATTTCAACTGTCAAAGTTTCTTTTACATGCGCTTATCAACCTCAGTTTTTTGTATCCATATAAACAGTTAGAGTGTTTTTCCTTGTCAGTCCCTCCATCCTGCACTACTGACAAGGTGAAACGCCATTTAAAAATGCAACCCCGGTATCAATCCTCAGAGCTCCTGGTTAGTGAGTCAGGATCATACTCTCTGAGCCTCTGTGGCTTCCGTATTACTATGAATATCACTTTAAAATGTAATGACCTAATCTTTTAATTACTACTTCCATACTCTTATTTACAAATTGATAAAATAAAGTTTTTGCAAAGGTCAATGCTTCATGATTTGCCTATTGGAGAAGTTTACAGATCATAAATTCTGTTTGTTTGTTTTGGCAACAGTGCAAATTTTGGGGATGGAAACTAGTTTTTTTGTACTGAAGGCGATACACAGAATTTAGTCACAAATTTAGGCTGAGTAGAATGGTATCCTAATATAATCAAACATGAGGATTCTGTTAAGGTGATTGGTCCAGATAGTATCATATTCAAATGGCACATAGATTCTCACATTTGGTGCCGAAAAATTTGATATTAAATGCTATTTCATTTCATTTGCCTTGTCAGTTGAAATTCTGGTGTTGACTCGATTAACACCTTTCTGTTATTTAATGTGATCAACCTGTATTAGATGTTTATATTACAGGATGCCATATTAAAGTACATCAAGATCATTATGATAAAAATGAAGATTTTATTGCTTATTGTAAAGGTAACTAGTTTTATTGTAAATTGTTTAGTCAATAATTGTCAGATGGAGAAAAGCTTCTTACGTAGAAGTAACCTTGTTCTTGGAAAAACATATATATATATGCATTATGACAACTTCCCAGAAAGTTCCTGATATACTTTGTGTTTTTTTTGCAGATTATTGCTGTGTTTTAATTATCTCTTGTCAAAATTTACCATTTACATCAAATAGTCTCATTTATCAGATCACTCAGCTGAAATTGGGGACAAGTGCGATCATTTCCAAACTCTCAATATTTTGAGCTGAAACTGACAGACAGACATGGTTAGATCACATTTTGGTGTTTGATTTGGATATTGAGTCAAAATTTTATTTGGAAGAGACAGTTTATTTCTTCTTTAAGCTATCATGCTGTACTTCTTTTTTTTAGCTGGGGGGTTGGATGGCCGAATGGTTAGCATGTGCACGCTGTATCATACAGTCTGTTATTGAGTCAACTGTCGTGGTTTTGATTCCCCGGTTGATGTGACAAGGAGTAGGGTCGCCTGTCCAACCTGGTGGGTTTTCTCTGGGTCCTCCGGTTCCCTCCCACTGCTAAAGACCCCTACGCGCAAGCGAATTATTGAAATAAAAATGAACCATATATTGGTCCAGAAATGACCTAGTTTGTGTCGAGTGGATGTTAAACCCCATTTCTCTATCTCTTCTATAAGCTATCATGCT